TCTTTCTTGCCAAAGTCACCCCCAGGGTTCATTGTAGCAAAGAATTGAAATCCATCAGCACCCACAACGAAAGAATTATCAATACCTTTCTCTGCCAGAAGCAACGTTCTCTGGGGCTCAAGAACAGAATTGAGTCTTTCCAGCACGGAATCGTCCGCCAGCGAGATTTCGTCTAATAAGAAGAAGTGGCCATTTCTCATGGCCTCGACCAATGCGCCGTCAGACCACTCAAACAGTGCCTTTGACCTGCTCTCATTTCCTGCCAGTCGGTCCCGAATAGACTGGGGCACTGTGTCCTTGACTGTTTGGGGGAGGGCTTTGTACTGTTCCACATTTTCTTCCACAGACGTTGGAATTTCCATGCCTAGAGATTCAAAAACTACCTTCAAATCTGTGCGTATGGCCTCAAGAATGGCGCCACGGTTGCGGACAGGTCTTTGAGACCCAATAAGATCTCCTGTTTCCGTATTTTGATGAGCATTCACAATGTGCAGTTCTTGGTTGAGGGCTTCTGCGAGCAGTTGAACGACTGTAGTCTTGCCACAACCCGTCTCTCCAACCAGTAGAACAGGCTCATTATTTCGAATAGCTCGAGAAACTAGAACGTACAATCTCCGCATCGCATGAGTCCAAACCACGCCTTGAGCATTTGCTTTCTGGGTCAAATTCTTCAGCTCAGGGGCTTTTGAGGCAGAGTACAATTCTTGGGGGTCCAATTTGACCTTGAAGACCTTCTCGATAACTTCCTTGACAGCGATACGTTCCTCGTCGTTGCGGACTCTTTCTGCGAGGAGCATAAAACCGTGCGCAGCAATGTCCTCTCTTGTATCGGCCTCTCTGAGTGCCCACCGGAATAAGTCTCGCAAAGTTGCGAAACTATCCTTCTGCTCAAAAAGCCTGCTTGTTTGCCGAAGCCGAGAAAGCTCCTTGTATACCGTCACAATGCGTCGACAGTCAGGTGGCGAGGTGTTTCGGCTCCGCTGTTGGAGGATGTACTCAAGTTCATCCTCAGGAATATCATCAAAATGAAGTTCCAGAAATCTGTTCCTGAAGGCTCGAGAAAGAACTTTTCTACCTCCATACAGGCCAGGAGGGTTCTGGGTCGCAAACAGAATGAAATTTTCGTGAGGCTTGACGATTTCTTGCGTTTCAGGGATCAGAAGCTCGCGATTGTCGTCCAGGAGTCGGTTTAGAGCCTCCAGTACATCGGTAGGTGCCAAGTTCAGTTCATCAAGCACGATCCAATGACCCTGTCTCATAGCTTGAACAAGCAACCCCTCTTGAAAGCGTAGTTTTCCATCAGGGCCTGATACGTAGGTCCCTAAATACTCCTGAAGATCTGTGTGCTCGTGATTATTGATGCGAACGAACTTGTTACCAGTGAAATTGGCCAGATATTCGATCATGCTGGTTTTGCCCGCGGATGTTGGGCCTTGAATGAGAATAGGGAATCGTCTTGTCGAGGTTGCTCGGACCAAGTTTAGAAGGTTTCGTTCAACGTAGGGGGTAATGATGTAGTCATCTCGTTCAATTGGAGTCTGGTCGCCTTGAAACAACCAGTAATGACGATCATGGTTTCTGTTCTGAAACTTGACGTATTGACGACCATCATTTGGGTGCTTGGGGGGCTGTGATAATAATGACTGTGGATTGCCATGCTTGTCCAGAAGGTGGTGATAGATTAGTGGCAACAACATTTTCTCAGAGTCTCTGTCCAACAAAGTCAGGAAGCCCATAGAAAAGCCTTCGTACAGTGCACGGCGAACACCGTAAAGCGGCGCAATGTTACTAACATAGCTCAAGACTCTGGTCAATGTTCGCAGACTGAAGTGAGGAACTTCATTTGCGCCGTCAACCAGTCGCCTTTCCTCCGCCATACGCTTGGTGTTCAAGTACAGCCGTGCAATATCATCCGCAGCTTGGTCACTCTTTGTGCTTGTATTGCCCATATAAGTCCTAATGATGGTGAGAAGGTCCTTGAGGTCTGTATCGGGGCTTTTGACATAGAGCTCGGTAAAGCGTGAGCGAATACCAATGGGTAGGTCACGTTTTCCGACATCTGTTGCAGGATTCATGGCACCGAATATACGAAAATCGGGATGTGCCACAATTTTCTCGATTTCTCCCGTTTCTGAGAGTAGAATCGAAGGCCGCTCATTGGGGCCGGTTAGGAGATCTGCAATACTTTCCAAGGTATCAGGAGACGCAAGGTTGATTTCGTCTAGAAGCACCCAGTCGCCATTGCGAACGGCTTTGACGAGGTTGCCTTCCACAAAGCTGAAGGCGAAAGCCCCCGCTCCTCCGGATATCTGGACATCAAATTGTTCCAAATTCCTTGAAAAGGAGTCCCATCGTGGTCGCAGCTCTTGGAGCGTTTGCAGCTTCGACAGCGTCTTCCGACGCTTTGCGGGCTGTGCATCGCCATCTCGAGCTTCTGCCTGGTCTCCTTGGCTGCGTTCGAGTTCAGTCACAATTTTGGTGAACATTTTTGGCGCCTCTCTCCAGAGCTTGGACAGTTTTGACCACTGTGACTTGGCGAAGCATTTGCCAACTTGCTCCAAGTACTTCTGGTTCTTGGATGCAGATATTCCCGTGGCAGCAAACAAATCTTCAAATTCCTCCTTTAGGGGCACCGCAAGACTACGCACATTGACCGGCTTAAATCCGCCAAGCAGGTCGCCAACCTCGCTCTGTTGCGATAGATTCACCGCAATGAGCTTATGACCTAATGAATCGGCCAGTTGCTGGACAACAGTGGTCTTGCCTATACCTGTTTCACCAACCAACAGTACAGGTTCTTCGAGCTTGACTGCCACCGCAATTTGTTCCAACAGCCTTTTGGCGTGAGCTGTGCTTGCAAATGGACGTTTTGACTTTTGCAATCTAGAGTGTAGTCTCTTCTTTCGTAGCTGAGCCCGTCCGATACAAAATGCACGGTCATTTTCTTCCAAAGGGGGTATATTGGCAGACAAATAGTGGTCTGCCCAATCTTTGGACATGTGCATTTCCTCCGCAATTGCATAAGTCAAGACTCTACCCAGTTCAACATCGGGACAGCTGCCAACGAAGCAGTCTAATGCCTCCATGAACATCCAGTCTCTTGTCGTTTCGCTAATAGGCTCATCCCCATTTGTAGAACCTGCAGTGAGCAAGCACTCCTTTAATCTGCGGCACCACTTCAAAAGGTCACGGAGATTAACTTGACGGTCCATCACACTCCGTCCGCGAGACATGAGGCTGACATTACTACCCAGTTGAGCTAATCGTCCATGAACGGCGAGAATTCCCGGTACAAACTTGCGCAGTATAGGATAGGTTTGTAGGACAACTTCTTCCAGCTCTGACTGAGTAAGGGGATCCGTGTAAAGGGTTTGCCAAAACCGCATACCAACCAGGGACGGTAAATTCTCTCGGCCGTTCAGTCCTCGTGATGTTCGAACAGTAGCAAAGAGTCGAAAGCTACTGGCAGCCTTGATTCGTTCTCCACGGCTTGGAATGAGCAACTCTTTACGCTCAATTAGAGGAAGGAGAGTGCTAAGCACTTCTGTTGGCGCCCTATCGAGATCCTCAACCAGGACCCATCGGCCTTCCCTGACTGCAGTCGTCAAAACACCTGGCCGCCACTGAAAGCTCCCTGGTTTACTGTCCGTTGCATATAATCCCACTAACATCTTCGCGTCTGTTTGATCGTTCAAGTGGAGTGTGACCATGTTGGAGTACATGCCGAGCTGCGTGGCGATTTCGTGTATGAGTGATGTCTTGCCTACCCCAGCCATTCCATAGAGCATAATTGGATCCGAATCTCGTAATAAGGTTGCTAAACGTTCGAGATTTCTGGTAGTAGTGTTCGTCATGACGAGTGAAGAAGGATCACCAACAGGGCCATGCGGTCGAGGGAGCAAGACGTTTCCATATGAGACAACGTACGGTGTAAGCGTCTGCAAACATTCTTTTTCCTCACAAGTATCTTCTTCACACTTGAGTAGAGCTTGTAGATCAAGCACCCGTTGCGCTCGGTTCTGCTCATACAGCGAGAGAAACCCAAAATCCACCAAGGCGCCATCCAGGCTTCCGGTCACAGCCTCTTCCTTTCCAACATGCTCATGAATCAGAGCCTCGAGCTTGAAATCTGACGCGTGTAGCAATAAGCAGAATACCCGAATGGCAAGGTATCTGACTGGTAGGCTCTCATGCTGGAACAGAGCTTGCATGCATGAAGCTGATGCAAGAGGGCTATACGTCCTGAAATCAAAATTCAAAAGTCTCCATGCCGTAATCAGACTTTCCAAAAGGCTTTGCCCATCTAACCTTGACAATGAAGACTGGTCAAATTTGGGTAGTAACAGTTGCAGGGATGAAGGCTGCGTCGTGATGGAAGAAATGTCGTCGGTGCATCGAAGAAAAGAAGCCAGATATGGCGCAAATGGTAATAACCTCGCAAAAGATGCTGCAGTCCTTATATGAAGTGACTCATTTGTGGCGTTGAGAATCCAACGTGCACATATATCGGGAAAGACATTTTCAAAATGCACAAAGACTTGCTCTGTAAGTGGCGGGCACAGCGCCGCCTGTGTTACTGCGTCCAAGAGTTTTGTCGTTGATTGCTGCCGGATAATGTCAAGTAATTCCGGAGGCAGATGATGCAATACGGTCGCATCAGCTAGAAGCGACCGCCTCTGCCGTGAGACGTCAATCATTGCCATGATTGCGTCGTTGTTGAACAACTTTCACTCTTTGAGTGCGCTTGAGCTATCTCCGTCTCGTACATTTGCCAGGCCCAGATACTTTTTTTTTTCTTTGAAAGTGACAGGGGTGCCAGCCCGGGTGTGATGACACAGGTTTTTCCGGACCAATCAGCGCGGGGGTGGAACCACTTGCGCCAGCAAACTACAGCAGCTCGAAAAACTTCAGGAAGCACTCCTTGATCGAGAAGCTGCACGCGACCGAAGTATCTCGACTACGAATTCGAGTCATTCAGCCTCCATCACACATCACCAACCATGGCAATGTCCTGCCGGTATGCGACGCAGAGCTGCGCTCGCCAATTGCGCTCTGTCTCCTCTGCTAGAGCCCCTGCACAGATGCTTCGGATCGCCTCGACGACAAGAAGGTTCAACTCAACTGAGGCCGCTCCGACGAACCCCAAGATTGCCGAGATTGTCGATCAGATCAGCCGGTTGACGCTTCTGGAGACTGCCGACTTGGTATCAAGCCTCAAGGTGGGTTTCGGCGTTTTTATGGAGGATACCAATTGCAAATTCCGACTTGACATTGCTAATCTTCAATGTCTAGAGCAAACTGAACATCCCCGATATGCCAATGGGTGGCTTCGCCGCTGCCGCTCCCGCTGCCGCCCCCGCCGAGGAAGTGGAAGAAGCCGCCCCTGCTGCTGCCGAGAAGTCCCTCTTTACCCTGAAGCTGCAAGCTTTCGATGCCGGCGCGAAGGCCAAGATTATCAAGGAAATCAAGAGTCTGCTAGGACTCAGCTTGGTAGACAGCAAGAAGTTTGTGGAGAGTGCACCAAAGATGATGAAGGAGAACATTCCTAAGGATGAGGCCGAGAAGATTATGGCCAGCATGAAGGAGCTTGGTGCTACTGTTGTCATGGAGTAAAGAATGCCATTGAATTGCAATAATGGGCTGGCAAGTCCATCATAGAAGGCCGTATGGCATGTACAAAATCGTCACCTGTACTAGTATCTAAAGGGGAACGGACTCCTTTTTCAAAATAAACAAAAATCTTACTTCTCAACTTCATGTCTTGAATGTTTTCTTGTGGTAACATATGTTCAAGCATGGACATATGTATGTCTTTGATACATGACAACAACATGTTTTGTTTTGTTTTGTTTCATTTTATTCGTTTATTAATTCATTTTGTGGATACCAGACACAAGGAAATCAGCAGTGAGCTATCACGGGTATCAAGGACTACCTATTCACAAACACACCCCGGCACAACCATCCGACCCTAGAAGACTTTCCAAAACTCCACGCAATGCAACAAAATTAATCCCAATACACCGAGGCTAGTGGTGGTCTCCATTTGCAGAGCGCCTATGTGGACAATGCTGCATCTCCATTTCTTTGACGCAATCTTCGGTTTCCTCAGAGAGCAACCGGTCGTCATCTTCGCCGAAATCACTAGTTTCCTCCCACAATTTGTTCATCTCTGCGTCCTCAGTCTTGGGTATAGCCCAAATACTCTCCCGTTGCCGCTTATGACGCTCCCTGTCTTCCTCTATGCGCTGTTCGACTTGGCGTTTATCCAAGCGATGTGGTGCTGATTTTTGTGCCGACTTGGGTACGGTCTGGCCATCTGACTTGTCTGTCATTTCAACATCGCTGGGTGGCGACGCAGGACTCAAATCAGCCTCGTTGATCTCGCGTTCTTTTAGAACGTCCTCGATCTGGCTAACGGCTTGAGACTCCAAATGCCCCTTGGTCTGGAGACCTTGCAAGACCTAGGATTCGAGGTCAGCAATCGCCCCTGGCGGATGCTCGCGAACGAAGCTTTGTATGGTGGCAGGCTCACCTTTCGAACCACCTTGACATTTGTGGCGCCAGATCCGTCATCAGGAGCAACAGCATCCACCACCCGAATGATATCGCGTTGCATCATACGAACGTATTCGGCATGCCCCTGTTGCGCCAAGTCCAGAAAGTGCTCAATAAAGTACATAATGTTTGCGCGTGTATTCATGTTATTCTGTGGCATGTTAGTCAGGCAATCATGTTTGCACGAAGTTTCTTGAGATAGAACGCTTACTCTTTCAACCTGTTCAAGGATGCACGAGTGCAAGTCCTCATCCATGTCTTTGTATTTTAAGGCATACTGGGCAGCTTTTTGAGCAGAAACTACAGAGGCGTTCAAGTGCTGCAACTGCAAGCTGAATCGCATGCGGACCTCGAATGGGTCCGCCATTATGTGCTGTAACACAAGTCTGAATTAGGTCGCCGTCCGAGGCAAGAGTGTTGGCATGCAGCGTCTTTAGCAAAGAACTTGTTGAGACGAGTTGATGAAGTCGAATGCTGGCCTGCGGCCCTGCGCTCATCTCAGCAGGAGGTGGATCTCGGTGAGCATAGCGGTTTGCTCGGTGAGAGGCCCTTGCCTAACCCGGCCGCGGTAAAGCCACGGCACAGAGACGCCAGCCGGCACCGGAGCCGACAGCGTAGGAAATCCCTCGCAGGCTGTTAAAGCACCGGAAAATCTCGCCGGTCAATCCCCACTGTCTTCAGCAGTTTGATAGCACGGGTTCGCTCTTCACTCTCACAACACCCCGGTCCTTTTTCATTTGATCTCTTTTGGCAAATACAGAGGGGACACATGAGCCTTTTTCTGCTTTGGAAGACTTTTGCTTCGTTGAATACCGCATTCTTTTTAAATAGTCGATTTGTCTATCTCACCTAAAACCACCGCTTTCCACTTAAACATAGGTTTGCAGCCTGACGTCACCCAACAAGACAAAATGAGCCCTCAATTTGGCGATTTCACCATGACGGTGTTGGGATGTGGTCAGTACTCTTTTTGCTGCCAATTTCCATAGCAAGTCATCTCATACAAAATAATAGGCACCATGGGAATTGCCATTCTCAACGGCATCCTTACATCCCTGGCCGAAATTAATGGTCCTCGACCCCTCCAATCCCCATCATCAAACGCTTCCACCCCTGGGGAAGAGCGGCCACAGTCTCTCCCATCTCGCTTCATTGCTTGCGTTCGCAGTGCCGAGAGTGCTAAGAGAGTCAAGGCTGCTTTGTGGGAGCACTCATCCATCGTCAAGGTCGTTCAGAACGATAACATAGCTGCCGTCCAACAGGCGCAGGTTGTCCTTCTGGGCTGCAAGCCATACATGGTGAACAATGTTTTAGGTGAGCCCGGCATGGCGGATGCTTTGAAGGGCAAACTTCTCATCAGCGTTTGTGCTGGCATCACCGCCGACCACATGGAGATTGCTCTCCACGGATCGGTACCAACAACCAATCCGGAGGACGACGGTCGATGCAGAGTCGTTCGTGCCATGTGCAATACTGCTGCTCTTATCCGGGAGTCCATGACCGTCATCGGCATCTCCGATCCTCCGCTGCCTCCCGACATGAAGACTCTTGTCACTTGGATCTTCAAGCGTATTGGTGATGTTGTCTACCTCCCCGCCAACAACATGGATGCTTCCACAGCTCTCTGCGGATCATCTCCCGCCATGTTTGCTCTGATGCTCGAGGCTGCCATTGATGGAGCCGTGGCTATGGGTCTGCCCCGTGCAGAGGCTCAGAGAATGGCTACTCAATCCATGCGAGGAACCACCGGGCTGGTCCAGAGCGGTGAGCACCCGGCCCTTCTCAGAGAGAAGGTGTGTACCCCTGGTGGATGCACAATCGGTGGTCTCTTGGTGTTGGAGGAGGGCCGAGCCCGAGGAACGATCTCTAGAGCTATCCGTGAAGCTACGGTGGTTGCCAGCCAGCTTGGAAAGGGTGTTCAGGGAGTTAACGGAACCAGGTTCAACACGACTGGTTAATAAAAGAAAAGTGCAGATTCCACGACGCAAATTCTAAATTTCGTGCCATTCTTGGTTCATCGCATAGACCAATTTGTTCCTAAATATACCAACGCCGCAGAAGAATTGTATAGGAAGCCCATTTCCATTTGTGATTGACTTTACAATGATCTATAGCCCCCCACACCCGTCTCACACTGAACCCTAACGCCAAGTAAGTCTCCATATACACGAAGCTGCCCCCATTTCAAGCGTCTTCTACTCTTGCCTTTTTGCTTGGGGTCTTATCTCCAGCCTCATCGTCTAATTTCCGCTTTCCGTTCGATTGACTGGGGCCAAGACCATGGCCAGCAGCTCGTTCATAGGCCGCCAGAATGCGGGCGTACTCTAGTTCAACACCAGTCAAAGTCTCCTGGAGCTTGTCGATGCGTTCAGCTTGTTCGATTTGGGACAGAGCCTCTCTGTTGTGTCTGTACAATCTCTGCTTCACAATCAATTGCCACAGCCTTTCCAAGTGCTTATCCGCCTGTGTGGGGGCTGGACGGTCGTCATCCAGCGCCATGGAGGGTCGCACAGATGAAGGAAGCTGAGACATCAGGTACATTTCCAGTACTCTGTGAAATTGTCGTGGAGCAATCTTTGCATTCAAGCGGATTTCCTCAAGCTTGTCTCCTCCAACAACCAGATTGGGCACAGGACCCTTCTTGGGAATCGTGACTGACGAATCCAGTTTCAATTTAACGAAATCCGGGATTGTCTTGAGAAAGGTGAGGTCACAAACGTCTCGCAGATCATCAAATGCTTCATTCGGGTTCTCAACCGTGAACTCGTGCGTTTGGTCATGTTTGTGGTAGTGTTGGAATATTGATTTGTACAGCGTGGCTCCATTGCCTTTGCCCTGGAATGGTGGCAAAATAATGAATTGAGAGAGCCTAGTTCTGCATGGAAGGTTTGACAAGTCAAAGCTTCCGTCTGGCAATTCCCACTTGTCTCCAGATTCCGGTGGCGGAGTAGGAGGTCGGCCAAAGTAGAAAAATCGATACACAGTCGAGTATCCAACAAAGACGTATGACTTCTTATCCGGTTCACCATCTGACTTTTGTGTACGGTAGAGGAAGAAGACTGTCCAACGGTTTGCATCGGACAGGTCGATGTCAGACGAGTCCGACTCGGGGTTCTGGCCGATGTACGAACCACCTTCGATGAGCATAGGCACCAGAATCTGAATGCGCGAGTTCAGCTGCTTGATAGCCGGGTCTTCCAGGCTGCCTTTCCAAATTTCATACTGGCCGTCGGGTCCGTCGATGGTCTCTTGTAGGGTGCCAGGAGGCGTCCAATTGTCGCCAAGCTGCTGGGAGCTACTCTCGAAATCGGAGCTCTTGACGAAAGCGACTAGGAACATTAGTAGGCAGTTTGATGTCAGTTTGGCAGCTATATTTACCTTTGGGCAAGTGATTTCCTGTTTGAAGCACAGCGTTGATATCGGTGGGTTCTTCAACGCCGGCTGATGGGCTTAGTTGTTTGCTGTAGGTCGTTTCCAAATGTGGCCGCATATCATTAGCTCGGAATCGCAAGCTAATCTTCAGGTCCTTGTACCCAAAGATCTTCTCCTCGTCGCCAAAGATGGGATACGTAAAGCTCGGATGAAAGGAGCCGACCAGTCGGAGTCCAGACTTGGACGGAGAAACCAGGCTCACATTGAGCGCATCGTTGGAGTCGACAAGCCCTACAAGTTGTCAGCTGTGTCGAAACGAAACTGATAAAGACGGCTTACAGTCGGTGAGATCGGGCAAAGCGGCCATGACTGACGTATGCGACAAAAGCTGTGGGTTACAGTTGTCAATGGGTGGTGCGTAATGTTGCGTCGAGCCTAAAAAAAAAATGGTGATAAATTGGAGTTTGCAAAGCATGTCAGACGCGATGGCTCCAGCTGGAAACGCGACCGAGCGCGAATCAATTAAACTGGTACTCCGTACTCCGTTTGCACAGTCTGCCAACAACGTTCTGCACCAGATGCACACCTCCCTAGCCGCCCCACATTTGAGGCACCAACTTGTCCCAGCACCTTTCAGTGGTCGTTTTGTACCCTCATTGCGTCATGGGACCTGCAAGCCAGGGGGGCAACGCCAGCTAACGTTCGAGAGGCAGCAGCCATTTGGAGCTCGCGGTTTCTCCGGCTTCGTCTTTCAACCAGACTGCTTCAACTAACCCACCTTCATTTTTCGCATCGCCTGCATGGACTCACTTACGGGCTGCTCGCCATGGCTCACATCACCAGCAGTGCTGCGCCCGTCGGTTCCATCATATTTTCGATTTTCGCACTGCTCGTAATTTCGATCATCGTGCTGTTGATTTTGCGATACTACTTGCCGCTGCGAACTACACCTGGATTTTATCTCGTCCCCATCTTCTTCGCATTGTGGCTGCCGTCAATAGTCGTGCTCCTCGTTCCCATAGACTTGGCGTCCAGTGCAGCCACCGACGACGAGACTACCAGGGGAATATGGCTCCCTGAACGAGTTGTCCTGGTGTCGTGGCGGATAACGTATTGGCTGACCTTTGTTTTGACTTGGTATGGTGCTCTCCAAGGACCATTTCTTACTATGACGATAGACTTACAGACTATAGGGCCATTTTGCCCATCCTAGGCGAATACTCGGATGCCGGCTACCACGAGCCGAGCGATAAGCTGAAATACTCCCTCCGACAAAATGCGCAGTTCTATGCCATCGTCCTCGGTGCCAGTGCCATTGGCTTGGTATACGTCTTTATTGCGTATCAGCCCTCTATTCTATCGCTGAAGGGTCTTGTGATGACTCTTGCATACTGCTGGGGTCTTGTGCTCGCCATCTATCTCATGGGTCACGGACTTGTTGCCATTCCCAGACGACTCATTCGAAATGCAAGCATAAGCGGCCGATTAAAACGACTGCAGTCACAAGCTCCAAAGGTGCACGAACATATGGAGGACACACTGGTCATCCTAGAGGAAGTCGAAGCTCAAGTCGCAGAGCTCTGTCGCCGAAAGACTGGTAGTGCTTTAAGCTTTCAAGAATGGATTGAGGAGCTTCAAGACATGGGAAACATCCTGCCGTCTCAGGTGCCGTCTGGCTCTGGCATATTCGCGACTAACGGCCGATCGGTTCCGCCGGTCATCACAGAAAAGTATTTGGCCGAGTTGACTCGAAGTTTTGTTCGGGCCAGACATGCCAGATCTCGTTATGTCGACGAATGGAGCCGCTTGGTACACGAAGCAGGGGAATTGCAGGCAATCTTAAATTCCGCTGCTTCAAAGAAACTGGACTTCGGAGAGCCGTCACCACACACGGGAGTTTGGGGGAGGACCAAAATTTTGAGTCCATATACTCGGTACATTTTCTACTACCACGTCATCCCCTATACCCAGGTAGCGTTTGGTCTGTTTTTAGCTCTCGCCTCTGCTTGCGTTGTTTGGTCGGAATTAGTCCGATATACATTCCCGCGCTTGTCTGTTATTCGCCTCAGCGTTGTACATCACTGGGTGGGAGATAAGCCTGAAGTTGGATTTGCTGGGCAAGTCGTTTCTGCCTTCTGGATTTGCTACATGTGTGCAGCAGCACTTCTCTCCATGACGGAAGTCAAAGTCTGGCGTGGCCGGGCCCTTGTGAAGCGAAACACGTCTTACGAATCAGCGTTCTGGTACTCTATGCAGGTCGCCAAGCTTACCATTCCCTTGTCATACAACTTCGTGACATTCTTGTCTAAGGAGGTGTATGAGAAGACAATATTCTTCAAGTTTCTGGGGCAACTGCTCGAAAAAACTGCGCCTGGTCGGTGGTTTGATGACCTCTTCCCAATTGTTGTTTTGTTCCCAGTGGTAGCAACATTGTTCGGATTGTACGGGAAGGTCAAGCGTGTGTTTGTTGGTATCGACGTGATTGACGAGGGCGATGAAAACGGGCCGACATATGGGTCTGGATCTTGGCGAGAAGGCCGTGGTCTCATTGAGCGAGAGCTTGGAGGCACAGCGACCTACCGTCGACGGGGAGACACCGCTTCAAGGGTTGCATTAGGTGAAGCAGGAAGCAGAGCTGTTCCCATTCTCTCCATTCCCGCAGTTAGAGATCCTCCTCCGTTGCCGAGTCAAACACCCGTGCCCTCTGCCAACACTGGCCGACCAGGACAAATTTCACGGGCTCCCATTTACGATGATGCCGCGGAGGACGACAACATGTTGGTAATTATAGGCAACCGTATGAAAAACACCGTCGAGGGCATAGAGGCACCCAAATGGTTCCAGCAAATCAAGAAGCCCAAGTGGATGGGTGGAAACAACGAGAATGCCGGCAATTCTCAGAACAACTCTGACATACGAAGATGGTTTGGCGGAGAGGGACACATCCGGTTGTAAATGCAGGTAGAGGTTCTTCTCAACATGGTTACGGCGCAGCGGCTTGCTTTGGGATATCTGTTGTCACGACGGGCGCTATAGTTGGCATGGTCTGGCGTTTTTGATTTAGCTAGCCTGGAACATTGTTTAGCCGAAGCACAGTAATAGTCGAGCCAGCTTAAATGTGGCTTCTGTAGTCTTTATTCTGTATTCTGTATCCAATCTAGTGACGGCTGCCCGTGCGTACATGTGTTCGTAAGTCGTGAGTCATGAGGCGTAGTCTATACACAGACAAGTCATAGTTCTTCTTTCCACCTGATTTTAGAACAAAAACAAACCACTCTCCGCAGTGACACGACCAGATAACAGCCGAAAGGTGTCGTCTTATCCTACCTCATCGACACCTGCGCCGAAACCAGGAGATCACGGCCGAGGCGGCGAACTAAGAGAATTCCACGTATGCGTCTTGCTCATGGTCCTCTTCCTCAAATGAAACATGATTTCCTTCTCCATCTTGTCGATATTCTGCTCTAGGTCCTCGTCGTCCCTGGCATACTGTGCCTCGCGACGGCGATCGAACCACACCCATATCGCTACGATGGCGGCAGTGATGGGGATCGTAACGGCAAAGTAGATCCACAGATCTAGGGACACGGGGTGGGCGGCTGGCCGCAACAGCGGCATTAGCAGTCTGCAGCTTTTGGGATATTCGACGGGAAGGGGAACCGTACATTCTTGGAAATTGAAAAACGTCATGCTGAAGACGGACGCGAGATACGTGCCGGGCAGAAAGAGCGTCCCCATGAGCGAGATGGTCTTCATGGCGGTGCTGTCGCGTTTGCTGGCGTGGGCGATGCGGCGCTGCTCTCCGGCGATTTCGAGATTCAGTCTCGCTTCGCGCTGCGACATGATGTTGTACAACTAGGGCCCCTCGGTCAGTGTCTGGTGCCTGGGATCGAGAGCCTTGGGCTGGGGGGCCCGGTGCCGGTGGACGCGCGTGTGTAGCTTACCGCTTCCCGCTGCACCTTCAACCTCTCCAGCGTGGTGTGGATGTAATTCTCCAGGCCCTTGAGCTTGACCTTGTAGAACTCTAGTCTCGCCGTCATGCTGCGGTGCAGCTTGTCCACCTCCTTGAAGTGCCGCCTCTCGGCATCCTCCGCGCTCGCTGTTTCGCCGTTGACAAGTCTCAGCTTTTCCTCGCGTACAGTCGCCATCTTGTCGTGGTACCGGCCCATGGCCTTCTCCATCTCTTCTGCTACGGCCCAGTACGCCTGCGGTCGCTTCCACATGACGTGGCCATGGCATTCGACGAGGTCGCGATTCAGGCCGTCTACCTCCAGCAAGCCGTCCTGGAAATACTGCTCGTGCTCCTCGACCTCGTTGCGCAGCGAGACGGCGTTCTCCAGACGGCGCAGCCAGTCTCTTGCATCGCGCTGTTTCTGGTCATTTGCCGTGGACAGGTCGTACGAGAGGATGATGATGGGAAGCAGCATCGGGTGGCCGATCTGTGCGGAACATGCGCGGAGGTGCTGCAGCGCGAAGACGACGTCTGATGACGGCGTGCCTTTGAGGTAGCCCGTGGTCATGTTTGTCTTGAACGAGTGCGAAAGCATCATTTCCCAGCCGCGGGTTCTGCCTTTTTTGCGGACGTCGGATTTGCGGTGGATGATTTCTGATTACAATGTTTGTTTAGCCGTTAGGTCGTTCTTCTTGTGAGCCATTGGGACGTGGGTGGTTGGTTAGGAGCACCCAAGCGAACAAAGTAAAAATTTAAAAAACGCACGCAAGTGAGGATCATCATCATCCTGGTCAAAGGAGCTCCAAAAGAACGGCCCAACCACAGATGTCGTCTCAATCCCTCTAAAAGGCAGCTTCAGGGCGCGGACCATGTCTTCGTACGAGTCCTTTGGAAGCGAAATCACCTTGGGCGTGAAGGTATCCTTGTCTTTGGCGTTCTTCTGCACACTAGGAGCTGTCAGTCGACGAAGGGAAAAACTACCCGATATCTCAATCGATGTCATGACAAGATCAAGAGTCAGCAACAATACTCACATCAACCGGATCCCGCTCAACAACCTCGTCCCATCGCGCATCTTGTCCGGCGGCGCAAACGCACCCTGTTTCGTTCAGTCCAGCTCAATTCCATCAAAGACGGCGCACTCACCCGCCTATACAGGAAATTGTCGAATTCATCTTCCGTAAGAGCATGTTCCTCGCACGAATTGTAAAACGGATCCTGCACACCAGACAGTCAGACCATCCACTCCCGGCTTCAGTCCAATGGCCATTGCTTCAAGGCAAACTCACCGAGTAATTCAATATTTCCAGATAACTCGTCGCCTCCTCGACAGTTCTACACTCGTCGACATAAAACCGAAACATGTAGTCGTCCATCCTTGATCTCTTGGCGTGTCTGCACCCCCCGCCTTTAACCTTAAATCTAGAGCCGAATCGCCAAGCTTCTTCCCAAGCTCGGCCCTTTTTTTGAAACGCAAAACGCTCGGTGCAGGATATGGCGACAGAAGAGTCGCGGGAGAGGGAAAAAAAATAAAGGACGAGTCTACGACAAGGACTGGCAGCTTGGCTGAAGGCACCTCGAACGAATGAAACGAGCTTTTGCTGCAACCTGCAATGCGCTGGCGAAACCCTGTCGGATGCACCAGACCCCAGCCCCGTGACTTTTTGGCAAGCAATCTGGTGGATCAATACAGCACTTGAGTTGTCTGGCTCTCACATGCACTCTTTTTCTTTTTATACTCCGTACTATGTACCAGTACTCCGTACGCTGTGTTGAACCGCGTCAATGGCTTTTCGTTGCCCAACGGTGAATCATTTGCAAAGCCCATTCCATAACACGTACTAACTACAAAACGTCACTGCTAGTAACACCTAGAAGCTCGCGCAACAAACGCAACATTCAAGAGTCATGAGCGGATGCGTGCCCATGTTGAGCCAGCCAGCCAGCAGCTACACAATCAGCATGCTGTCCCCAAACATGTCAAACTCGTATCCACCGCCTTCGAGAATCTCGGCGTAGCTACGCATAACAAGCTCTTTCCCGGCAAAGGCTGCCGTCAGCACGATATGGCTAGACCGCGGCTGGTGGAGGTTCGTCAGCAACACGTCCACAAGCTTGAAGTTGAATCCGGGGTATATGTAGAGGTCGGTCCACCCCGACTGCGCCTGGATGGGAGCTTTGGGCTCCAGCTTGGCGGCCAGCGTCTCGAGGGTCCTCATGACGGTCGTGCCCACGGCGACGACACGCCTCCCCCCGGACACGGCCCGGTTGATCTGTGCGGCCGCCCTGTCCCCGACCTGGAAGTACTCGGACCTGACCTTGTGGTTCTCAACCTCCTTCTCGGTGATGTGGCGGACCGCAAATGTCTCGGTCGCCCCGACATGCAGCGTGATGTGGGCGACCTCGACGCCCTTGGCGACAGCCTCGGCCAGCAGCGCCTCGGAGAAGTGAAGCCCAGCTGAAGGGATGTTGAACGATCCAGGTGTATTGGCGTACACGGAGCGGTAGGCAAGGGGCGCGGATCTCCAGAGCGTCAGGTTCGGGTCCGTTATGTCGTCTACTCGCTGCCCGAACTCGACCAGCGTCGGCGTAACCAGGTCGAAAGGCTCGAATCTCGCTCTCCAGAGCTGGTCGGGCAGCGCTTCGAGCAGGGTGCATGTGAGTCTGTCGTTGTTCTTGGACGTCAGGGTCAGCGCTGGGGCAGCCAGCGACCATCCGAATACATCGACAATGGTCGTGCCGTCGGGCTCGTGGCCGCACAAGCCCACGTGGGTAGACTCGTCGCCGTACCGGAACCACAAGACGTTTGCGAGCACGTAGCTGTCGTTCAAGACGAGCAGGTCGCCCGGGCGAAAGTACTGGCAGATGGTTGAAAACACCGTGTGCGTAATCTTGTCGGTCGAGCGGTCGAGCACGACCATCCTGCCATCTTCGCGGCTTTTGCCACGAAGCTCAACAGGATCGTCTGGCATGATTCTTGACTCAACATTGTAATCAAACTCTTCAGTCCTCATGGTTCTTCTTCTTCTTTTTTTCTTTCTTTCTTGAGGCTTGTTGTAGCTGTATGGTTTGGTACTCAGGGTTGGAAGACGCTCTTCGAATACTAGCCTGTTGCTGACTGAATGAATGCGATTGAAACAGCGGCCGTTGGTAAAGTCTCGGCATAAGACGTAGATTTTATACTCCGAGGCGAGGGGGTCTTCTTGCAGGCATACTGCGCAAATACTATACGGCGTGGACGCATGGGCGATGTCAAGGGTTGTGCAGGTTGTTGACATTGACCGATGTTGCATTATCACGGTGGCTTAATGCAGTGGCAAGCAAGGGAATCTAATGTCGTCGTTGCATGTACCAATGGGTATCCTAACGAATGGCAGAAAGACACGTCAGTAAGGCTGCTAGATTTTACACAGCAATATGCTTCATGGTCAGGATGTTGGAAGACGTGAAATCAAAGCCACTGCGTGTCATTCGGCATCACGTCTATACAAACATGGGAAGTCTGCCATGCGTCGGTATATGAGTGACGATCCCTGCGCCCTCGTAGTTTATTTCCGTTTTTGGGCTCTTGGCTGTATGTCATATTCATAACAGTTGCGCAAATTGTACGCGAGGCCGTTTCTGTACGTGTCTTGGGCATCGTCACGGTCCATCGCCGGATTTCGCAACCAGGGTATCGGGCGGTCGGTGGGATATCTGCAGATATTCTGCATGTTCGATGCAGATGAGACGCCTTGGCGGGGTTCACAAGTAGTTCTGGAATTTGAATTATGATAAAATCATGCAGATCCTGCTCCAGACCTCATGTTGGGTGCACCTGCGGCTTTCACGGGGCCGTTATTTCAAGCAGCAAACGGGGCTGTTGGATTGGACATGTTCCCAGCTCGGTCAGCCATGCATAAATGATGGTGTCTTCATCACCCTCATCACCCCTCCTCGGGTCGCTCCCAGACGTATGTGGCCCGTCCCGTCTTGGGTGAGGGTTGGGTGAGGTTGTATTAATGCCGTCCTGTCACCATCGTCTACGGCCCGGGCTGAGGTCCTACAGGATACACGTCAGAAAGCGGCCTCTTTTATTGTTTTACTGCAAAGCATCAAATTTCAGAAACCCAGCTTCAAGGAAATGTAGTCCAAAAAAGATTGCTACCCGGGTGCGTCGATGGCAGTCCAGGCCTTGAGGGTTTGAGTTCTTGTGATGAGCGGAGTATTTACCATCTAAACGCCCGCAAATACTCGACGGGAATGTTGCAGCCGAGACACATCGAAGTAGAGGATCAACCGCTTCAATAGAGTTCATCGGGTCGCTGGTTTTGGTTTCCAATAGGCCCTTCGACTATTAATCCGAAACACACAAGACCGTGGCAGAACGCGACTCTCTGGCTTGGTGACAAACCTCACCCGCAGCTCACAAAGGTGATTGAGGAATAGCAATGAGGATGTAGCAAAGCTTTGTGCAGTATCTGAAGGCTTACACACGCATCCTATTATTCATCATTCCGCCGAGACCCAATACGAGGCAAAGATAGTTTTATCCCGAGCGCCACATGGCATGACAGCACATGGATTGTGTAGATTCGATAGGACCGCCTTGGTAGCACAACATATTGCTTGACGTCGTTCTGACGTTGATACTCGTCGACAACTAATGCAGAAAGCATATCCCGCCATTTGTACTCTGTCATCTTCTACCCAACTTCTCCCCAGGCATCGTGTGTAAACCTCCCAAAACTGTCATCTTGTTCAAGAAGAAGAAAACGAAATCCCCAAGACTTCTACAAGGCAACATGATGTCCACCACGGCAATGCGATACGCCAAATCGTCCCTGATGACGATGCCCATCCGTCCTACACTCGCTCGCCACCGCCGCGTCGTAGAACGAATTGCCTCCAGGCCACTATCGCTCACAAGCCGAGCCGCTTCTCAATCTGCCACCCAGCCCATTATGCTGGAAGATCCCAAAGGATTCGGCTTCATCCGGCACAACGCCCGCCCCCCGAAACCGAGAAAGACTGGCGTCACCGAGATCAGGGGACCGTACTACTCCGTCATGGGCAAGAGATATCTCCAAGACGTATTTGACACGTACGCACACACAAGTTTTCAACGGCAAGGGAACAACAGTTGGTCGCTAACCCAAGCCAGCATGTCGCATCAAGTTGACGGTGTCAAGTTTGCCGGGGGCTCGTTCTCGCTCTTCCACGAAGACAAGCTGCGGGAGCTCATCCAGATAGCCCATGAAAACGACGCCTATGTCTCGACTGTACGGCATACTCGGCCTCCCTACGTCCACACAGACTAAAATCATAACGACGAGGAATGGAAATGGCTAACAAACTCGCTCTACAGGGAGGCTGGATTGAGCACGTACTCACCCAATCGGACCCGACAGCAGCCGTGGACAAGTATATCCGAAAATGCAAAGAGGTTGGGTTCGACGTGATTGAGATTTCCACGGGATTTCTCTCCCTGCCGCAAGACGACTGGCTACGACTGGTGGACAGGGTGCATGAAGCCGGCCTCATTGCGAAGCCCGAGTGCGGCATCCAATTCGGCGCGGGCGGTGATACAAAGGCTTCGGAGCTGGAGGAGCTGGGTCCCTCGGATCCGTCCAAGATTATCAGCGCCGGCAAGAGGTTCATTGGTGCCGGTGTCGAGCGCATCATGATTGAGAGCGAGGGCATCACTGAAAACGTTACCAAGTGGAGGACCGACGTGATTCAGCGTATCCTCGATGAGCTTCCTGCGGAGAAGCTCATGTTTGAGGCGGCAGACCCCCCCGTCTTCAACTGGTATATTCGAGAATTCGGCGTGGATGTGAATCTATTTGTTGATCACTCACAGATTGTGCAGCTTAGCTGTCTGAGGGAAGGTATCTGGGGCATGGCGGATACATTTGGCAAGATCACAACATACAGGCCATGATGAAAACGGCATCTTGACCATACAGTTCAAACGGGCTTCTTTTGGAGCGTATCCATGAAAGAAATTGAACCAGACATCAATCAGTCAAGAAGCTAGTTAGTTCCGAGTGACACAAGGGTATTTATTATTGCTCAATGAGTGGTCCGCTGGTCCGGTTTGCGAGACTGACGACGGGACGTGACATTCCATCATTTTGGTTATTGAACTAGCAGTCCAGGTCCAGGTGGCTTGTAATTCTCGATTCGCGCTCTATGGCTCCAATGTTGTCATCAGCATCTCTAGTTTCGAGCGGCCAGCAGTAGTTGGCATAAGCACTAATTAATACCCATGGTTCACCTACACCTCATGTTGCAGTCAGTCTTGAAACGTATCATGTTGTGATAATTCATACAGATGCCTCGCGTCATTGCTAGCAATCAGTGACTAAAGAAGGTGGCATGTTTGGTTGTTCACTTCGTGTTTTTTTCTTCTTTTACTCCCGTGTAACAATATGTTTGTTTGTCCAAGGTTCCAGCCCAACTCCGCAACACTGATAATTAATTGTTCTGGGAGTATATTCAGGCGCACTTTGAAAGCCCAAGGCAGGTTTCCAATATCATATACATGTCGCCATCCAACGCGTCATGTCGTACACAATCAGGGAAAGGGAAGAAAGCCCCATCGTTCTCGCACATAATCTGCCAACTTCAAAAATCGGTAAACATGTGTCCGTATCTACGCACAGAGTTAGCCTCCAATACTTCACAAGCAAATGTGTTCCAAGCACATACTCATCTGACCCTCCAATGCCTCCATACTTCTCAGGGTCCTCGGGATATCTGTCAAACTGGCTTGCGTCGCCCGTACCGGCCTTCACTGGCGGCGTATATGGGGCATCAATGTCCTTGCGGGCCAGTCTATCCCACGTCACCTCCGAGAACCATGGATGGTTCTTGACATCTTGTGAACCGCCATATAAGTTACCCAGTCTCTTGGTGAGGTCGGATGTGATTAACCTCTCCAGCAAATTTTGCGCATCCGTGTTGATGTATGCAGGGTACTTGACCTTACCCTTCAGGATATTTTCGTATATACGCATCGGCGAGCCGCTGTCCCAGAACGGCGTATAGCCACACAGCATTTCGTAGATCAAAATGCCCAATGACCACCTGCGAGAGACATTAGCTGGACAGCTCATATTGCACCACCCAGAAATGTGGCAGCGGTCAAACCTACCAATCCACACTTTTGTTGTAACCCTTGTTAGAGACTACCTCGGGTGCGAGATAATCTGGCGTACCGCACAAAGTCCAAGTCTTGTCTGGAACCCGTTTGGCAAACCCAAAATCCGTGATTTTGAGGTGCCCGTGCCGATCCAGTAGCAAGTTCTCGGGCTTTAGATCTCGATATATAATATTCTTCGAGTGGAGGTATTCGAGGGCAAGAGTCGCTTCGGCAGCATAGAACTTGGCAACAGGGTTGGGAAAACGCTTATGGTCGGTCAGTACACAATAACACATGATGCCGGCGTTTCTGAATTGGTCCACCCCCAACAGTCAATTGGTACTCACACCGGATTTCCTTAGCAGTGAGAATAGCTCTCCGCCCTCAACAAAATCCATTACCATGTACAGATTCTTCCAATCTTGAAAAGTGCCCCAGAGGGTAATCAAGAATGGATGTTTGACATCGCTCAACATCCTCCGTTCATCATTGGTGTGCTCAACCTGCTTCATCTTGACAACTTGAGCCTTCTTGAGCACCTTGATGGCGTAGAATCGTTGGTTATGCTTCGATTGGACCAGATGGACTCGTCCGAAGCTACCAGTCCCGAGCGTCCTCAGTATGTCGAAGTCGCCCAACGAATATTTTCCCTTTGTGACGCGGGTGACGCTTCCCTGGTGCTGGTGGTGGACACGCTGCTCATGCTGCTGCTGTTGATATTGTTGCTGCTGCTGATCCGGCAAGTGTCCAGCTTGTTGCTGTGGTTGCATTGCTGGCTGTGGATAAGCCTGTTGCTGCTGTTGTTGCATGTGGCCGGGATCGGTTCCGGGACTTGCACTGGGAGGATGGCTGATCTGGGCGCCGAGGGCAGCAGGGTTGAAGGAAGAGTAGTTGTTTGTAGAGGCACCATTCTGGGGTTGGTGGATGAGGTTATTGATGCTAGGAAGGCTCTGGGAATCGGCTTGGTTCGTTTGCATGGGCAATGGAGTGACGAAGGTGCCGCCTTGGGCGTTTGCGGGATTCATCTGTTGTTGCTGGGAAGCAGGCGCAGCAGTGGCAGCTGAGCCTTGAGATGGAGCTGGAGCAGTTCCAGGAGCCGTCTTTGCTTGCGAGCCAGAGGTTCGCTGCTGCAGTGTAGAAGAATCGAACGGCTTCGACGGAGATGTAGCAGCAACTGGGCTGGTGGGGGTGGAGGTAGAGGGGTCGGGGTTGCTATCCCGCGTCCTCTTTTTCTTGAGAAAGCCGAGAGAAGGCATAGGGCAGGTGGTAGTACCGTGGTACTGCTGCTGCTGCTGCTGCTTCACACGTGGCGACGCCGATGACAGGCGATAGAGTCTCTTTGGTCGGGCGGAGAGGTGACAGGTGACAGCGGCAAGCGACTGGCAAGCGACAGGGTGGAAGTCGGCTACGCAGGAGCAACAAGGGAAATCGCGCCGCAAGGTGGATGTTTGGGTCCGTCGCAGGAGCAAGTAAGTTAAGTGGCCGGGTCTTTGAACGTCTGGACGTGAGAATTGGTCGATGGTTGGATGGAAGATGCGGAGCAGCGGCGGTGGGGGAAGCAACTCGATGGACCAGAACCATGGACTTGCTTGCAATTACAGTTTCTTCAAAAGTATTGCTCGTCGTCCAAGGCCAGCACAGAGTTCAGGAAGCACCGCCCAGGCCAGGTCTCTCAATTGCGCAAGCGAGCGGGCAGCGGGTTGTTGGCTGTGGAGGGTGGGAATGGAATTGGATCGGATGCGGATGCAGATGCGGAACGATCAAGGACAGCCGGCTGGGAGGAGGAGCTTCCATGTCGACTTGAATTGAGGAGAAGCCACACGCACGCAGAAGCAGCCAACCAGCTCCAGGGCCCTCCATGTCAGCTCAGCTCCATGTCGGCATGAACCCACGCTTGCAGATGGTTCTTTGCCCCTCATTTGGCGCCGCTGGTACGGACTAGTAGCACTTGAGTGGTAACATTGAATTAGTCCTCGTCGCCTGGCATGCAACATCGATGCTGGCCTTCAATCTTCGGTTTGACCAGCAACACCAGCTGTGCCCCAGGTCCATCAACTAACAAGTTTCTAGCCATAAATAGATCCAGGAACAGCATTTTCGAGCTGCAAGCGAAACAAAGAGACGCACTGGCCAATTGTCACGTTGATGATTGTGCTTTCTTTAGTACGACGCCGGGCACGCATACGCCGCAACAAGGGGGCAACAACCGACGTCAGGGAGGCTCAGAGAAGCCACTCCCAGAAGCCACTCACAGCTTGCTCGAGACGCCGAACAATGCAAAACTGACACGGACCACGAGTTTGCATAAATAGTGTTGCAGCCTAGTAATTGCCAGACCAAGAGCTACACTGGGAGGCAAAAAGCACTCGAGTACATCAGGTCCTCTGAGAGCAAATCAATCTACAGGTTCCTTTCTCCTTCGGAAAGTTCTACTTTTCTAATTGCCAATTTCTTTACGACGCTTGAATGGAGCAATGCATCATACATCCGTCTTGTCAATCTCCTCGAGACCTATTTCGAGGTGGTAGTACCACTACTTTCGCCTCAAAGTCGCAACCAGTGGATCCTGGTTGTTGGTCAAGGGCAAAAACTGTCCTGGTCACCAGCGTCTCCGCGATGAAGAGCTGTGCGCGATGAGCAACTGATTGAACTGCATGACAAAGGACCCTGTTAAGTCGGGATGAAAAAAAATATGACCTGGCAGTTCTGCAGATGGGCACGGGCCGACTGACACCAAATCGATTTCGATCGCTCTTCGTTGGCCTACTGGGGAGGGATGAGAAGAAGACAGGAATGGCGGCAGCAGGAAAGGCTTACCAGCCATTCCTCAAAAGGCTACTCTGTAACTACAGCTTAGCTCAGTTACCTTGGCATGTCCTCCTCATACCGCCGACTTGGCGACGCAAGTCAGTCACTTAGGGCAAAATATTATGGATGCGGCAGTCAAATCATTCGGCTTTCGGCTTGGATAATGGGCAATGCACTCAACTACCAGCCCTGCGCACAGGAAACCCCTTGAACGACTTGTCAATGACCATAGCAACTTTTTTTTTTTTCATGTGAAATACGAATTGAGCTGTATTCGGTCTCTTCTCACTCGTAGGACGATATGATGGTTGACAGCTCGCCCTTGCCTTGGTACGTACCTTCCTGAGCAGCGGGACGAGGTGGCCCGCTTTCCTACTACAACCGGCGATCTTTGACGACAATATCAAGTGGCAGATGGAAGACCATGGCAAGATACCCTGCAACATCACGTACCCCAGATACGATGGGATCGTCCCTTAAAATTTTACATCTGATTACTAAATTATCCAACCAATGAGCGCAACCAATCCGTGATGTGCAACCTCAGGGAGCCTGATTTGTATCCACGCCGCATTTCACACCAAGCCAGCTGGCAAGCTTCAAGCTTCCCACCGCGTCCGCATTAGGGCAGCGCCATGAACCTACTTCACACAGCCAACCCAGACCGAGCACTTGTTTCAACAGCTATATCTAACTCGACAGTTAAGACGAAAATTAACTACAGTAGTCACGTCCGAGAACACAAAAGGCAAAGTGGACAATGGAACTGCTCTTCAAACTCCAGCCCGTAGGTCCTACCAATCGCTCTTACACAACTATTTAACAAAAAAGCCTTCATCGGCTCTTTCTCAGATGAAGCAGCAACTAACCACAAAGGAAATTAAATTGCCAGCCCATGCAAGTGATATTATATTCTCTCTTTTTTTTGATAGCCCGTCTCAAACTTCATCATGTCCATAAAAATAAAGGAACACCCTTTCCCGTCCAGAGCTCATCCACCCAAGTTTTCTGCGCCCACCAGTCATCTGGAAAAGGAGACCCGACACGACATTGCCCAAATGCTTTAGAATCGGTGGCTCTTGCTCTTGGCTCGGTAAGCCGTGTAGCCCACATACATACCGCCAACAGCAACGAAGAATAGGATGATCTTGGTGAAGAACCAGGTCCAGCTACTGCCTTCCTTGACAACATTACTTTGGATGGGTCGGCCCTTGTTCGCTCCCGCTCGGTCAGTCGTGCTGCCAGGGCTGTTGTACAGATTCTTGGTGGAGACGGAGATGATGTCGTGGTTATCGCTGAGCTCGCCGGTTTCCGCGCTGAATCCGAGGTAGGCGATGTTGGGGATCTGAGGAGGGTTGTCCACCTCGAAGCAGGACGTCCACTCGTCTTCCTCCCTGTACTGGAGGTCAAGCTTGAGCTGCTTGTCCTGGATGTAAGTGAGACGCATCTTGGTAGGCACGCTGGCATGTCGGATGCCGCGAGCTGAGCAGCCGGCCAGCTCGGTCTCCTTGCCGTCGTCGTTCTTGTTGTAGGAGCGCTGGCCGTCGCCATACATGGCCATGACGTAGGGGAACACAACGCCGGGCCGGTTATTCTTGTAGGTGTCGACAAAGATTCCCAGGCCCTCAAATCGATCAACCGATCCGAAGACAGGGCCCATCTGGCCGCGCTGCTTGGTGATCCACATAGCAAAGCCATCGCCATAGAGTTGGTGCTTCCCCGAGATTTTGAATTCAACTTCGACCTCCCAATTCGTGGCGGTTAGAGGCACACGGGAGAACAGCCAGCCGGATTGCGAGGGAAGATCTGAGGTCAAGCGAATATAACTATTCATGCCGTTTAGTTTCGGTTCTTTTTTTGCCACCTTCTACAAATTCTTCCGCCAAATTGAGGCAACATACGAATCGGTTCGGACAATGGTATCTCCTCCAAAATCGAACCAGCGGCTCTGCATATCCGAGTCGAGGTAGGGCTGTGAACAAATCCTCTTCGTCAGTTTCGCTCTTCACATATTGGACATGTGGGCTATTCCCCCTCCAGATTCCCCTGGTATCGTCAACTGACCTGCTGGATGCTATGTGTTCGTAGCTGCGAAGTCCCAATCGCGTCAGTCCTAATTTTCGATTGGCACAAAAATTATTTTCTATACACACCGAAATGCTCTTCAGGTCAGACGCGTGGTCTGCCTGCGCAGTCCCTACAATGGCCGCCAGGAGGGCAGCTGGGACTGATGACAACCGCATGGTGTGGCGTGCCTCAAAGCGAGAGACGACTCGTCAATCAAAGACCACAAAAGAATTAAAAACACGAGAATCAAAATAAAGGATCGCACAGCCGTCGAGGAATCGTCCAACTCAAGGCGTAGGGTATCTGGTCTCCCTCGACCGGTTTGCTTGGGAGGCTATGTGGTGAGAGTTGGCCAATATTGGGATCCAGAGCTGGCACACAGCTGTCCTCTTCCAAACGGGCCAAAAAGACAACCTGGGGTTCGGCCCAGCCTTAACGTGTGACGATTATGACAGCCTTGGCCCCTGCTCAACTGCGCCACAGCTATCCGCCGAGATGGCCGCGGAGTACTCCGTAGGGAGTACGGCTAGAGTGGTCTATAAAGTAGTGTGGCTGAGGGGTCACTGAATTAGCCACTCGTTCTAGCTTTTCAGATCTTTTGAGCCAGCTGGGTTGCGACAAGGTGCTCTAAGCTCTCCTCGAGATAGTCACCATTCACACACCCGCATTGCATCGCACCGCATCGCTATATCTGACACGGCACACAGCACAGGCCTGATACCAAGAATGGATTCCAGCACAGTAAAGCAGTCTGTTATGAAGCAGGTCCTCGCTGAGGCGAACCTGGCCAATGCCCGAGTCCTTATTGAGGTATGCAGAAGAGTGTAGCAGCACGAGACACTTGCCCTTGTTTCTCGTCTGCTAGCATGCATTGGCTAACTTGACTTGTCTCTAGAAACTCCAAGAGAACTGCTTCGAGAAGTGCATCCCCAAACCAGGCAGCTCGCTGTCCAGCGGCGAGCAAACCTGCATGACAACGTGCATGGAGAAGTACATGGCTGCGTGGAACCAAGTCAACGCCGCATACATCAACAGAATACGCCAGGAGCAAAACAACCCCAGCCAATAAGCGTACCACTCAATTCATCGGTCGAGACGAGTATCAGCGATTACGGAAAACTGTATATTATGCCATCGTTTCTATGGAATGGGAGGTACTCGCTGGGTCAACCATCTAGCCCAACATATATCCGGAAGGAACGTTTTTTTTGTATAATCAAAAGTGAATGGACACATGGGGGACAAGGTATAAACAATAGAACAAAGTAGTCTCTGCAGAGACTAAATACACGATTCTCACCGCCATTGTGCAACAGTCACCATGGCCAGAGAAATGGCTCTCATGATTATATTATATTGCTGGGTATCTCACGTCTATCCCTCTGATGCCTGCTTTTTAGCTTCCTCAGCCGCCCGCTTTCTAGCAAGATATCTCTCCTTTGCACTTGAAATCTCGCTTTGCGTCTTTTGGCTCTTTGCCGCGCGTTCGATTTCTTCGCGCTGCGATTCTTCAGCTTCCCTCGATCGCTTGAGAGACTGCTCCAGCTGCTCTTCCATCATGCGAGTCTGGCGCTCCCTCATGGCTTGTTTCCTTCCCAACTGAGCGCCATTTGTAGGTCTTCTTTCCTGCTCTTTGGGCCGTTCAGCTTCTCTCCGAGCCTCCTCCTTCTTCTTGGCGCCCACGTTTAAGCCCCCCCGCAGGAGTTGGCGCTTGTCGACGACTTGGCCGTCCTCGTTGACGGCGACAGATGCGCCCTTTTCGTTGAGCTCGCGGGCTAAATCGGCCTCGGCCTTCTCCCTATCGGCCTCCTCTTCATCGCCTTGATCCGTCGCAGGTCCATCCTTGGCCTTTTCTGCTGCCGCCTTGACAAGTTCTGTGTGTCTCGCCTCGTCTTTATCAAGAAGCTTCCTGTAAAAAGCCGACATGCCGCCGCCTTCATTTTTCTTGGCCTCTTCTTCCTCTCTGCGCTTCTCTTCTTCCTCTAACCTCTTATTCTCCTCCTGTTGCTTCCTATATGCTTCCGTCACAAATTTTTCCTTGTCGGCGTACTCGTCTCCCTCGGCTTCCCGCTCTCTAGCAATCTTCTTCTCTTCCGCAATCAACGCATCCCGTTTCCGGACTTCAGCAGCTTGAAGAAGACTCTTCATATACTTTGGTTTTCGCTCCACGTCCTGCTTCGCATCGTCCTTCTTTGGTTTTAATGAATCGTACACGGAATCGTATTCGTAGATGCTTGAGTCGAGTTCTGTTGCTGCTTCCGCGTTCCTTCGCGAAGATAGAGTGCCTGAAAGGTCGCCAAACATGGCACTCGGCTCATTTTTTGATTTTAGCTTTGGAGGCTGTGTCAATGCGCCAGGCTTTTGCTTTGAACTCTTGCGCGTGTCTGATTTTGGTGCTTTCGTTGTAAAGTCGTCTAGAACGCCATCAATCCGTTCAAATTTGGTAGCGCTACTATGTTCTTCATTATCGGAACCATCGTCGCCTCCGAACGCGGACTTCTTGCCAAACGGTGTCGGTTTTGGTTTTGGTTTTGCTGCGCCTGACTTCTTGGATAGACTGAGCCCAAAGGCTAGCGGCTTGCTCATAATGAGGGTTCTCGCTGTTCTGGAGGTTTTAATCCTCTCTTTGGGGTTGAAGATTGCCGATGTGAAGGGTTCTGGAAGATATGGGCGATGTAGTACTCTGTAGTACACATGCCGATGATGTAAAGTGGGCATTGCTCAGCCTAGGAGCAGGAGGCACTATCGCCACCGCCTTCTATATAAGGTCGAAGTCCAGGGTTAGGGTAATATGGCCTGCGAACTCGAGTCTTTCCCTCCAGTACCCGGCCTAATTAGATACAACGAACTGGCAGTCTATCAAAACGTATTTGCCTATTGATAAATATATATACATGGTGTATTCTTATTTTCGTTCGGGCCGTTCCGCGAAAAGGCCGATGGGAAGTTGCCCATGTTCAGTAAGTGACACCGTCACCCGTTGCACGCACTAATTACAGAATATTCTACTATACAATCTTTAATTAGGATCCCCGCAAGAATAAACAAATACATAGATAGTCCTAATGAGGCGTAGCGTTTCTCGCTTATAGTTGTTTTTACATCACTGTTCTGAGAACTAGTCTCCCTCAAAAGCTGTTGGTTAAGTGCTGTCAAACAGCAACTCGCTAGGGTGGCAATTTCGTAGACTCGGCAAAAATACAGCAGCGAATGTATCCTGATCATTTCCACCTGATTTTCATCGTTTACCAGACTCAAGCCCAAAAGGACCCCTTTTCAAATGATGTCTTGGTATACGAACGGAGTTGAGCGCACATGAATGTAGCACCCAAATCCGAGCGACCATCTCCGCCAACATATCAGCCTTGGAAATGGATGGCCAAATCATGACGTGATTGGGTCACAAGGCCTTCCAAGTTCCAACTGCGTCGACAACCGACCAGCCCGTCATCGCAAACTCACACGACAACCATGATTCCTTCGCTCCCAGCCATCATGGAGTCTTGCGCAACCTGCGCAACAATCCTCCGGTTACCGGGTGCGCCGACGTCAGCAAAGATACCCGACGATCGGATAGTATCGTGCTGTGGAAGAGTGATATGCGGCAGCTGTATTCAGGTCAGACATGTATTGATACTTTCGCCACAGCCGTGCACCTGCTTCACGCACTGACTTGCACACTTGTAGAAGAACCCGAGGTTCTCTCAATACTGCCCGTACTGCCAGATATCCAGTACACCTTCTCCTCTGCCCCAAGGACTCAAGGATCCACCGTCTTATGCGCTGGTCTCGCAGTCACGAACCATGGATAGCGGACCACCACCCTATACACTCGTGGACGCGAAACCTCAGCCTACAAGGAATGAGGGCGCAAGTGCGGGAGTGGACGAGAAGAGCACCGCCGATGATACTCTCCATTTTCTGAACCACAACCACGACAGCATCACATCGCTGTCGTTTCGATATGGCGTTCCTGCAGCCGCACTGCGGCGGGCAAACAACATCACGAGTGATTATCTTCTACAAGGCAGAAAAACAATATTAATCCCAGGGGACTACTACAAAGGCGGCGTTAGTCTCTCGCCCACGCCAATCGATGGAGAAGATGAAGAGTTGAGAAAGAGCAAGATACGGCGATTTATGACGTCCTGCAAAGTCTCTGATTACAACATTGCCCAGCTCTATCTTGACAAGTCAGGCTATGATTTTGGCGCTTCAGTACAAGCGTACTTTGATGACGAGGCATGGGAAAGGGAGCAGGCGAGCAATGGGGCCAACAAAGCGATAACGAGGACGAAGAACCTCGGCTTCTTCTGGCGAAGATAACCTGGTGTATCCTCGAGCTTCTCCTTCTGTACAAACAGAAACTGGGTATTAAATTCATCTTTCATTCATCGTGCCGAAAGGCGCCGTTCACCATTCCCGAGTCTGTCTATGAGACTTTTAACAATGTACTCTAACGCCTCTGCCGCCCCATCTCCCAGCTAAATAGCATGTTATAGGATATATAGTACAATACATCAATTGGTATCTTTCCAATAGAAAGTGTTCGTATATATTAGAAAGCAGACCTAGTGCGGATATCCTGGAATGATTGTCAGTTTACATCTTGAACATAAGTGGGCGGCGAGAGCAACTTGGGTTTACTTACCGAGATTTTCCTTTCAATCTCTCGGACCGAACGGTCCAATTCGCCGGCAATCATTTGCTTCTTATCGTTGGGAAGCAAAGTATATCGCTCACAGAGATCTCCATCAATTATGCCCTTCACAGGCGCATAGTATGATCGGTACATAAGATGATCTCTTCCAGCTAATGGAGGATCCTCAGTCCGGAGATGTGATTCAAGACTCTGGAAAAAGTCTGCGTCTTCTCGACTTATTAGCGGAATGAAGACACCAATAGTGCCCATAAGGCCGCTCCATAATAGCACATCCTGTCCGCCAACCACCAGACTGGTCTTTGCCATGCTAGTAGGTATATCCTGAGTGTAAAAGTGGCACATCAAATCAAGACGCTGTGAGGTTCCATGGAGGTAGTCCCTAGCATTCATTAAATGGAGACCAGATTGTTCTTCATCAGCCTCTTCACTTGCTTTTGGTGGACAACGAACGATGAACATGTTTCCGAATTTGTCTCCGCCGGCCACTGACTCGTAGTCCACCATTGTTGTGCACGTGGTCCACCTGGCAATGGTATCGTCTGCGAAAGGTATGAGCTTGTTCGTAGTAGGCTTATATGTGACGTATGTGACACCTTGTTGGATATCACCAACGATAATGCGGCTGCCTTGAGTGTTTAGGGATACGATTTGCTGAGGTGCTACCTCCGCTTGTGCTTTCCGCAGCATTTGCCGCATACCAAGATCGTATACTCGCAAAGTTTTTCCGACACCAGCCAGGAGTTTCCCTTGGAACGGGATCAACGCCAAAGCGGGTTCTTCGATCTTCGTTTTGTGAATAAACTCAAGCTCTCTCCCTTCTTCCTGGAAACGATACACGTAAATGTATGCTTCTGAAAAGCTCCGTGGATTTACCACGACATCTTTACCAGTGCCAACAATGAGAAAACTTTCATTATCTTGACTAGCAAAGGGAACAATAGCAGCGCTTACGGCTGCCTCGTTATTTTCTAAATCAACCGTCTGCACAACTTGCGGCTCTTCGGAGACAGGGTCGATCACGTTGATGCATGATGCCCATCGACGATTGCCTTTAGGATACCCAAAGTCCTCGGGTGGCAAAACTGTTGCATCGCCATTTACGACGGCCGGATCAGCCATAAGCTGCGCCCGAAGATCAGGCGGAAGTGTATTATTATCACTCTCAATAGTGTAAAACAGAGGCTGCTCTGGATGTTTGATGAGTTTTTTAGGAGTGTAGGTCAGAGAAACAGCCTTCTGAGTCAAAGTATCACCTAACCGGTCAATAGAGAAGATCCTAAGTGCCGTTAGCATCCAAATTCATAGAACAACAAAATGGTGTGTGGGCTGGTAACAGGAGCGCCATTTCAGTAGGAACAATTGGAAAAAAATGCGTATTATAGGCCTCATAGCTTAAAGCATAGGATCCCAAAGTTTCATCATATTGGCTTAGCAGGTAAGGGGGGCAACAGAGATGGCGTATCTTACCTCAGTGACTGGCCTTGAATGCCGACGATACCTTCCTCGCACTGCTCGCTGCTAAAGTTCCAGCCCCATTCGAGATCTACGTAGTTGAGCGGGGTGACGACGAACCCCTTGGTAATTGGATCGGAGTATCCAAGCCAAGGCCGGGAGCTGAGACCCAAAACACAAGTAGTTCCCTGTACGGTAACTTGGAAAAGCCGGACTTGTTTTGGCCCCAAGAACTTTTGTCTTGTGTCAGTTAGTTCACCGGTGACCTCGTCGAGAACTGTTCGTAGATAAACACCAGAATGCAAGCCGATATGAAGATAAAGTGTAGATCCTCCTGATGACGAGTCATCCATCGCAATAATAGCTAACGATGACGGCGCAGCTGTTAATGCTTGGACTGACTTGCTCTCGAGTGTCGACTCAGGGTCAAGACTGAGTACACGAACTGTACAATCATCACAGCCCACGGCCAGGAATGAGCTGCGAACTCTACCTTCAGGTACTTCGCCCAGGCTCAGACAGGTAACAGTGCCAAACATCTCCTTCTTCTCATCATACTCTGCAAGAGAGCCATCAGAATCCATCTCAAAATACACTATTTCACCCGAACTTAAGGCAATGGCCACTTGGTGGGCATTTGTAGAAGCTGCCACAATAGACCGATGTTGCGGGGCATCCCACTCGTTCACCTTGCCATTGCGAATATGTCGAATGCCCTTTGGATGAACCTGAATAAGGCCATCATCCCCTAATAATTGTGCGGCTAGCGTGGGAACGCTCGTCGAGAAACCAGAATCGCTGACTTCCTCTACTGTCTCGCCGATACTAAGCACCAGGGTTCCATTTGTAAATGATAAGACGATGTAAGCATCGTACCGTTCACCTCGGTTTAGTTTGAGGGTCCACACTGCAGAGGGTATGCCAGGTAATTCCGAGGCCACGATTTCATTGACTTCCAGGCCATGTCTGAGCATTCGAAACGTGCTTCGTGCTCCATTTCCACAGACAGTGTAGATTTGGGGTGCGTCTTCCCCTGTCAAGTTCGCAACTTGACAGTCAAGTAACGGATTCATTGATGGAATACTCTCGACCAAGGCCAGGTTTTCAGCAGGTCGAGGATGGAAATAGACCGGATCGTACGATGCTTGCGGGTCAACTGGGAAGTCATCGCTGCTGAACTCAAGCTCCGTATCATCGTCGCCGAGTTTCTCAAACTGATAGAAAGAAAAGTTGCCAAACTGACTGGCAATATAGAGAAACCCACTCTTTAGAATGCAGAGACTTGTGGCGACTGGTACGGTATCAAAGTACTTGATCTTAAGTCTTTTCACTTCACCAGTCGCGCTCCCTTCTTCATCCTCAACCATGTCGATAGTCACTTTAAACAGATCGCCATCCTCAGTTTGCAATAGGAAGAAAAACGCGCCGGCACTGCCCTTTAACTTGTGCATCACACCAGAGACGATTGTGCGTTTTCGTGACGGGTCCTCGGTGGCTCCCTTTCTTCGCGGTATCGGCACACGGAACGCGTCCTGGTTTGAGTGCCTATATGTAATGCTCTCCTCGCCACAGACTAGTACTCCGCTGGGGCCGTCGTTACCACCGGGAACCTGAAAAAGAAGGGAGGCAGTAGGATCGACAGGTTCCGACCATTTTCTCACAACGTGATTGAGACCAAGATCTAGCTCGTAGTAAACAAGCTGCGTTTCGACTTCCTCCAGCGCCTGGCCACTGGAGTCTTGATCGACCTCAGAGTAGTCCATTTCGAGGGCTGCAAAAACAGGATTGGCATATCCAACATCCAAGGCAACCATGGAAATAACCAACACACCAGGTTTGTGAGCTTCCAAAGGCGAGGAGATTGTTAGCTCTGCCTGTGAACTTCGGTTCAGAACATATACTAGCTTGTTCTTCTCGGTGGAAGCAATGAGACAAGCTCGACCCTTAGGGTCGCACGCAAGATATTCTCCTGGAATCACTCGCCTGACACCAGATTTGCCATAAGTCTCGAGGTGCAGTCTACTGAACCGATTTTGGGCTGGCAAGTACTCGACGACCGTGATTCTGCCAGAATCCGAGGCAATGATCAAATAATCTATTGAAATTGGAATTTAGCGGCTCGCTATTTTAAAGAGGAGGAACTTCTCGAAGGGCGAATGCCAATTGGGTAGCAAGGCTGGTAATCCCGCATGCAATTTGGCAGACAAACCAAGCGGTGACAGGTTTCAAGACATACCTTTGTTACTGCCCGCCAGGCGGAAAGAGGCCAGAGACCGAATTATCCCAAAGACGTTATGGGATAGAACGGTCGTGACCTTGCCTAGGGAAGGATCGGGACGCAATAGAGTCAGCTGTGAGCCAGCACCAGTGATGATGAGCTGCTCTTTGGTGCCTGCGAACTGACCCAGGACCGCCTGAACGACATTATTCGGCGGCTGGACCGTCAGCGAGTACAGGAACATGTTCGAAGTAGTCGCCATGGTCCTATCTGGGCGCAGTCCAGCCTGCGCGGCTCCAAGAGGCTTGAATTGCCGAGTTGAAGCGCAGGTTCGCGTAGAGGTGCTCTGGCTGAAGCTTGGAAATCGTTGCGAGTGGGACGGGCTACAAAACTTTGGTTTTGGTGACCCGGGTGGGTGGAGGAACTATTAATGCGGCGCAATTGGGTGGATCGACAGCTCAAGTGCTTTCAAATTATCTGCCCACCTCTGTCTGGTAAGCTCACCCAAAGTGCTTCACCCACCAGTTCCAGCCATTTGACGCCTGCGAACTGGTGATATAATGGAGCCGATATTCCGCAGAGCGGCTTCGAGCCTTTGCGGTCGCTGTACTGCGTCGCTTCGCAGACAGAATGTTATAGGGCGAGTTGGGCAGCTGGCGATACGGCCGGTTGGAGCCATTGCATCGATGAGTACGAAGCCGACCACGCCGAGCAATTCCGCTTCCAGGACCTTCACAACAACCGCGGAATCAAAGTCAGAGGCAGCAGCTCCGGAGAAGGATACTCCCACTCCGAGTCTGAGGCTTAGCCAAGATGATCTTTTTCATCCCTTTTCGTCATCTCCGGTCCCTGAGTTCCGCCACCGTGCAGCTTTCATGAGACAACATGCGCAATGCCCTCACCCTGACCATAAACCGACGAAGCTTCCGACCGTGGCACCAAAGCCTGATAACTCCGGGGAACCGACTGGGACCATGTCTCCTGCCCATGTTGACTTTGAGTGTCCCGACTGTGGATTCCCCGTCTATTGCAGCAAGGAGCATTGGATGGACCACTATGAGGAGCACCTGAAGATTTGTGATACTCTGCGGCAGATCAACGAGGATGACCACGATTTGCGGTCGGGCCGTGTATTCTTTGAGGGCAACCTTCCTGACCTACAAATGGATGAGGCCGCGGTGAACATGACGAATTGGGATACCTTTATGTACACCAGGGAGTTCGAGGCTGTCAACTCAGACCGCTCCATGAGGCAAATCACGCGCCTCCTCACGTATCCTGTCACCATTGGCAGCGTTCTGCATGAATTGAGTCCATACAGCCTCAAAAAGGGAGAACGACTGACGCCAGAAGGCTTGAAGAGCTTTAGTGGTGAGTACTTGCTACACAGTTAAAACGCTGTTGTGAATCTAATCTAACACAATGAAGCATTGAGATATAACTTACACCCCCCAAGAACTGGCAGAGGTGCAGGGGTGAACCAACTTCGGCCTGAGCCGCCGCCGGTTAGGGTATTCGTCCTTGGTGCGCGGGCAGAATCATCGTTGCCTCGGGCAGCTTGGACACAATTAGCTCATCTTTTTCCCGATTCAAGGCTCCATTTGGTGTTTATTGGACCAGAAAGCATGGCTAACCGAGACGACGAATTCCCCTTGCCTGAACGAACCCCTTCGAATCCTTTTGGTGCCATTGTCGAAGATCGTGTATGGTATAAGATGAAAATAAGCACAATTGTCGACTACTATCACACAATTCACAAGACTGGTCACTTTGCGCCCTACGATCCGTATTTTGATTGTTTTGTGCTATTCCATCCTGGCCTCGGCCATCCGGCAAGTAGCCACGAGTGGGAGGAGACATTGCCGCTTCTTTTGGAGACCAAAGTGCCCATCATCGCGACGGGGTACACGCAGTTTGATCTGGAACGCGATGTTGAGTGGGTACACAAAAAATCAAAAGGAGAGTTTGACATTCTGCTTGAACCAGGTGAAAATACCTTCCGGAGCTTGAGATGGGATCTGAACGACATGGATCCGCAGGATATCAGTTGCGGCAACTGGGGAGTATGGGCTTTCCGAGGCAAGAGGTATGCATACCAGATTTTCACAACTAGCATTGTCTCCTTTGAACCAGGCTTGACTAACAGCACAACAGATATGAGGCGACCACGAAGGATATATAGGCATTGCCCGATGGGGATCTAGAAGGTGGGGGGCAAGCACGGGCAGGGAGCATAGCCTTTGTATTTATATTGTAAACTGCATTGTACAACGACATGACGTCGCAAGGGAATAGACCACTTCAGCTTCTCAGAACTGCCGTACACGAGTGGGGTGAATTGTCAGGAAGCACGCCGATGTTGGCCAAACCGCAACCATGCTAGCTGTATTTACCTAGCAGGTACCAGGTAGTTAACGGCCTAGGTATTCTATATCCAGACAAATATTGTAGATATTGATGTTCAAAGACGTGTCACGGAATCACACTTGGCTCTTCGTTTGTTGTATAAATCCCCTGCACAGACATAATCATGAATAAAAAGTCAAGTTGGATAAGTCAGCTTTTGCTAATGCACGTGCCGGGGTCGACGCCAACGGGCAGCCGCCAGTGGTTTGAACTGGATTGCTCCTGCAGCGCACGGTTCAGGCGGCTCAGCCCGCCCATGATGTTCGCCTTAGCTCATGCAGCTCGAGCCTGCGACCCCATACGCGACCCAACTTAACCTCAACGTCAGGCCATGGCAACAACATCTTGGGCGACCAACGACTTTGCGACCGCTGCTCCAAGACATCACCGCCTCCAGCCGCGTCTCCGAGTGTCATGCCGCTTCGGCGCAGCCCGAGTTGGCCATGACAACCACGTCAGCTACTCCGGAGGCCTCGAAAGCTCGGACTGGCGCTTTGCGACATAAGCCTACCGCCTCGAATGCTTCCAGAGCCGCGATGCCGACAAACCGCCGCCTCAACCGTGCATCTACGGTTGATCCGTTGTCTGACCGAGCAACTCAGGCGCTCATCCGCAAAGTGCTTCTACCGCAAGAGTCGGGCGACAAGGGTCGAGATTCGCAAACGCCAATAGAAGAGCTCTTGCCGCCCCTCACGAGCCGCAACGACGTCGATCTACAACTCTACGCCTTTCTCGCCATTATACTACGAGAGTTTGTACAGAGTTGGTACAATAGGATCACGCCGGATGAAAGCCTTGTTGCTGAGATTCTCCATGTCATTGCGCATTGCACGCGAGCCTTGGAGCAGCGGCTACGCAAGTTAGATTTGGAGAGTTTGCTCTTACATGAGATTCCCGAGATGCTAGACAAACATATCACAAGTAAGAAACGCGCAAAAGGGATGCGCCTCCTCTCCGCTGTGCAGTTACTAACGGTTGCGGCTAGCGTATCGCTCTACACATCCGGAATCTCCCACATTTCAATCAACCTTCGTTAATGGCCGGGAGGCATATCACGCTCTCTGGCCACTGCCACTCTTGTCACCTGTTCCAATTTCCGGCGACCCCATAACAACCTCTAAGCAGCTCAGGAACGAAGCTGCATATCGGCAGCTACTAGTACAGGCCGTTCTCACCGTTCTGCTCCCGACGGAGGACTTGGAGAATCCTTGTCTAACAGCACTAGTTGAGCAGATTTTCTCTGAGCTGATTATTGGAAATGCTATAGCAAACAAGGCGGTCCAGCCGTGGCTGCTGTTCGAAGCCATTTGCATTGTTGAGCGCGTCTTGACCGACAAGAGGTGGGAAAGCAATGGCCTGAAGGCCTCAGGAGTAAAAATTCACCTCGGAAGTCCCCGCAGCTGGTCTGTCCAAGGATTCTTCGTCTCGATTATTCAATTTGCGCTTATATCGATGTCTGCAATCCGATTCGCCTTCAACTTGATAACAATGTCGTCATCACTGCCACCTCGAGGCCCAGTGGTCTCCGACAAGAAGCTGGCGCCAGAGGTTTCAGTCGCCAAGGGAAACACATCACAAGACACCCAGTCCACACCGCCCAAAGTACCAGTGCTGTCATTCAGCGCATGGGGCTGTTTAGGCAATGTGATTGAACTACAGAGAAGAATGCCCTGGCTCGGCGGCTTTTTCTCTCTCCTCCAGCTCGGAGTGATTCATGGGCCGGGCCGCGTGGCAAGGCTTGACGGCGTCCTGGACAGGTAAGACGAGCTTTTGGTCCCTTTTCGTTACTCCGTACACGTGCCAATATTCTCCCCATCGGCGAAGCTCTCTCCCGTCCCTTCCGCCTCGCATGGATCCAGGGTCACTGGATACCTTGCGTGCAACCACACGCGGCTGTGTAATCAGCGTCTTCTGTTGACGGGCCGCAAGGACGGACGTCTCGCTCCGAGCCTAGTCCGACTCTTGATGAGTGTCTTAGAGGCGTGGCTGTGATCACACTGCTGCGAGAAAACGTCAGGGGCGTGTCTGGAAAGCTGCTGCCGCTGGAGAAGGGCCAAGGCCCATTCTCTAGCTACAGATGTACGTCCCAGCCAATTACGACTGTGAAGTGAGCTTCTGGCCTCCGATTTGCTTGACTTCGCGTGCGCCTCTGGTATCTGGTAGCAGCCTCCACCGACACACGGCTGTTAAGCGCCCAGGCCGGACCGGGGTCTCGTCAACTTCTCGAAAGCGGGTCAATTCATCCTTGTATCGTCCGTTGCGAGATGTGCTGTGCCGCGTGACCCGGCAAACTACTGGAAAACCACACTGCAAAAAGACGAGATTTTGTGCTACAACACCGATTTTGTGCGAGTGAAAAAAAAAGGGCCGCCGTCCGAGTTGTCTCCACCGCTAGCAATGTGACGGATCTACCTGCCTTAAACCTCCAGAACACGAGGTGCAAATGCACATGTGGAACGAGGCGTTGATGTCGACGACAGCTTGAACGTCTCGACAGGACCACACCTGAAGCATCATGTACATCTCGTCACACCTAGCTCCATGGCTTCCTGCACGGGACCAGTCACCAAATCTTGCCTGTTCTTCATCACAAAGCTCCTTTCCCCGCATCTACTTTGCTGATCTCCCCCTCCCTTCCCTTCATTAATTGTCACAAGATCTCACAGCGCACAAATGAGAGTCTAGCTTCTCGTCTGTGGCTAGGTTCTCTCGCTTTTGCTGGGGAAGTAGCTAACTGATTCTATGACAGGTTCCTCTCGCATCGCATCCAATTGCTCTTCTCGGCATCCCATCTTCCCCCCGTCCTTCAGATGCTTCGGGGCGTGCTGTTCCCCAACAATGCGCCAGGATCTTCGTCCCTACTCCCACCTTCCTCGGATAGAGAGCTATATGCGCTTCGTAGAAGGGCTGCCAGGGCCCTCTGGAACATGGCTCCTCAGAGTGTCAGCCGCCTATACTTTGGCGGTGGTCTAGGCGCAGCCATGGGCCAATTAGCTGAGGCTGAGGAGGAGGAAATGGTGGACGAGTTGGAAGGGTTGTTGGGTGTGCTGGGTGACGAGTACTGTAACAAGCACTTGGTGTATAGTGTCTTGGAGCTCATTCTAGTGCGGTTGATGCCGGAGTTGTGTGATAATGGTGTTGACGACCTTTTACATGAAAGATTGGGGTGACCAATGTTTCCAGGTCATGTATGGTAGAGGATAGATACCCTATTAATGAGTTCTAGATGATATGAATTGTACTCCCTATTCGCAGACGTATTCAACATACCAACACTGAGCGAACGGCAAATCATGAGAGAGAGCAAGAAGAGGTGTTAAATGCACTATATGCCACCCTAGTACATAGCAAACCACCCGGACTCCTCCCGCCATCGTCAGCCAGCTTTGATAGCGGCCAATTGTCTGTGTCGCTCGGCCTTGCCTGTGAGCACCCCCAGCAATGAGCATGCTGTCCCTTTTCCTATCCTAACACCCTCCTACTCCAGGTACCCATACCGCCATGTCCCCCGTATTCGTCCAAGGAGAGAAACACACCATGAATCGGTAAAGGACGGAGCAGAGCGGTGAATACAACTAGGAAATAAATAATAAACAAGAAATAACCTTGAAACCGAATCCCCGTATTACCCAAGGGGAAAGAACTGTGAAGCTCGTTGAAAACCCGTCTTATCCCAACCCAGTACCTTACTCTCGAGAAACAAACTGTTGAGCGTTTTTGTTGCGCACAAGAGTTGCCGCCTCTACCCGTTTAACAACAGACTACTTCGCCCTGGAAGGAAAAACAAATCAATGCAAGTGTTCAGAATATGGTACGATGAATCCGAATCATGGGACCAAGAACATGCGAAATCATCTATGCCAGTCAAAAAGGGTAATTCTGGTAAATCGGGATAAGGTTAGGGACCAGCAGTCTGTGCTTAAATGCAGAGTTGTAATGATGATACTGATGTCGTCGCCGAATTCTGTTGCCAGAGTATATAGAGTCGCCTCCTTTTCTTCCTTTTGATTCCCAATACCCTCCAAAACATGAAAAATAAAAGGAAAAATAAAAACAATTCGCAGTAGTAAGAAATAACTGCATCGATGTACTCGACATCTGTGGAACTGCCAAATATTCAAGCAAAATCTTAAAAAACTGGGAGCTGAATCAGAATTCCAGCTGTGAGAATAAACTCAAAGCATACTGATCGTAATGCCTTGTCATCTTCTGGTTGTCTTTTCTCCGTCTCAACTAGCCTGCATCATTGCAGGCCCTGTCGCATTCATTTCATTATCGCCTTCTGGTATCCTCGACAGTCCTCCTGCAGATGGCCGGTTGCTCTGATGTTGATGAATCTCCAGCTTCTTAGTAAGTTGTAACATAGCCTGATAGTCACCTTGAAATAGCTGCCCAGTGGAGCTCATATTATGAAGATAGCTGAGCAATGTGTTCGCAGCGCGCCGAGCATCTTCCTGGGATGGTGATACGGGGGACGAGTCGACGGGCGTCATAGAGGCGCCCGTGTTCGTCAAAGATATACTGGAAGATCGAGCTGCGATACTCGAGCTGCTGCTAGTTCGATGCAAAGCCGGTGGTGAGGTAAGGCCAGTGTTGATAGAGAAATGCGCTATTTGACCATCATTCGTTGGTGAGTCGAGAGCTGATGACGGCGCTGTTGTTGGTGCAGGAAGTTGTGGGGTCATGGGTTCTGTTGCTGGGGTTGCTTGATTCCCATAGCTGACATCTATTGAAGGGAAGGTATTACTTCGCTTCTCCCGATGGAATTCGGGCGGCATCTCTGCGCGCATCCCTAGCGGCTGAAAGCTACCAGCGTTAGGATCAGGGGAGAAATTGAACGTTCCAGTCGGACTCAGAGTGCCACCGGAAAACGACGACCCGGGATTATCTCTAATGTCAGTAGCAAGTGATGTTGTTGGTTGCGAGTGCTGCTGTCTATAGGCAAAGTCGTAATCGATATTTTGTTCTCGCTTAACTTCTTCGTCACTCCGACTTCCTGACAAAGGCGACAGTGGTTGAGTTGGGGATGCAGGCGAAATATCATTCGATGTCGCGCCATTCCTAACAAGATTATGCTCAGGCATGCGCGTGCTGTCGGCAATATTCGTTTCAGATGCTCGGCGGGAAAGTCGTGAAGTACCGATCCCGTGCTTCTGTTTGAACTTTTGTAACCAGCCGCTGGTTAGGCTTCCAAGGATAGCATCTTGATTTCCGCTAGCATGGGCAAATAGGCGAGCTTGCTCCATAATCTCTTCGTCTTTGATGTCAAACCCACGTTGTTGCTGCCGACGAACGTAATTGCTCAGGGTTCTGTCAAAGTCAGGGTTCTTCGCTTTGCCGCTTCGTTTAAGGGCGGCGGGATCCGGTTCTTGATCTCTTCTGAGATATTGGTCCTTGTGCCTCAAAACTTTCGAGACAGTGCTGTAGTAAGTAGACCCAATTAGAGACACAGACCCATTGATGCTTGGCACGTCCATGTTATCACTCACCTTCTTTCTACCCCGAACCTCAAACCTATATCTGCTTGTCTCGTTCCGGGATTCTCTTCGTGATATTGACACATGGCCCGCTTTTGTTCCGTTGTCAAGGTTTTCCGGCCCTTGTCTGCTTGGCTAGGTAATTTAGGAGTGTCTATGGCGCGTGGTATCCGAGGAACAGGTGGGATTGATGTAGCAGGAGCTGAAAAACTCCCCGACGATGGAGTTGGATTCGTTAATTGACTTGGCCACGTTGTGTTCAACATGGGAAGTTGGTGGTGACCCATGGGTGTCGCTGAATGGTGCATCATCTGGTGTTGGTGTTGGTGGCCCCCCTGCTGTGGCATTCTCGGCATCGAATCTGAATGAACACCGGGAGGAACAAAGGTTCCAAAGCCCGAATATTCGGTCATTGGGCTGCCATCATAAGGACTTGGACTGTATGGGCTAATGGTAGCCCAGCCGTCATTATAGCCACTGCTTTGAGTGATCGCCGTTGAATCCTGTCCCATTGTGACAGATCCATCGGCTGATGTGTTCATCTTCCTTCATGCGTTGACTAGTGTCCAAATCATCAGTCATAGATATGCTACTGTTAAATGCAACCGTCAGTAACAGATCGGAACATGATTCCAGTCCAGTATGGTTGTAAGCCACAAAGTTCCTTCCAAAGCATGCAATCTTCTCCAGCAAAAGCAGTTGCGTGGATCAGAATACATGCAACGACCACCAACAGAAAAGCAACTCACCCGCTCAGCAATGAAGGAATGATGCGCGTTAACCCATGCCCTTCGAGCTATTCAGCAATATGGAGAGGTTTGCGCGAGTCGGGAAAGTTCAGAATTGACGAGTTCCAGCCAACGAGAATCTCGAGAGGCTAAAGGCAACTCAGGAGGGACTGGCTCACGACCCTCGGATTTCAGAGAAGCACCGTATTGCCTCACAGGTCGGCAAAATCAGAGACGCCAAAAGTGTTCGGCTCTTGTAAGGTTTAGGTAGTATTCCAAAACGGTCTATTTGTCTGCAGCGCTCTGGCAACTTCGATTCCAGTCACGTTTACCTGAGTTTCGTCTGCCAACTAGTAGACAATGTTGGATCTCGAAACAAGCCAGTCGGGTTTCTAGGCGATGGTACAGACTCTGAGCACTTCCGGCTCCGCGTGAGGGGTTTGACGGGGAAGAGATAACGAGACCGTATTGTTGAACGGAATGCGGGCGTGCGGAGAAGGCTAGAACGACGAGCAACGTCAAACAGCCCCAGAACAGCACAGCCAAATATGGCTATCCCGCTTCCTAATAATGTTCGAAATTGCAATGTATGTACTCTGCAATGTTGAGGAAAATGGAGGTTATGTACAGGGCTTTGAAAGCCAAGTTTTAAATAAACTAAAGGAGGGCTGCAGTGGTTGGAGGCTCGCACAAGATGAATGTAGACAGAGGTAGTACCAGGCCGCAGACACAGAGCCAAAATCGGACATAGACACGGATACATATGTCCAAGAGAATACAACCGCGGAAGGACGTCGACCCAAGGGCATACATATGTATGATTGAACGGATGCACACACATGCACGAATAAAGCCCGGGGGGTCCCTTCCATTCACCCAGGGGTGTGATGGAGGGGGTGCGAGGGCATATCGTCCTTGCCAGCGATAGATACCGAGACTTCTTCGACTCGGTCCTCCGTCCTGGTCCAGGAAGAGGAGGGAGAATGGCGCGGCTGGTTTGGATTGATTGTCAAGTCGAGCCACAAGGTGTGGGCGAGCTCGTGGTGGGTAGGATCGAATCTTAGAACGGCATAACAGTGTGGGCAAGGCGAGCAACAACAGCCAGGATTGATAATGGGAGGGGGGAGCCTTACTGCAACGAGATTGGGTATTGCCCAACAGGTCTAGAAAGACGAGGCAAGACAAAGAGGCAGAGAGAGTCGGCGACTAACAAGGGCTTCAGGTACTCCGTACTCGGTACTCCGTACATTGTCGACGTCTAGACAGGTATGATGGTGGACGGACTGAATAGAGCGACCGAGCCGAGCTGGGGTGCAGCAAGCCAGTTCCTGGGGACGCCTGAGAACCTCCGCCCCCCCAAAAAAACCAGGTGATTCTTGGTGGCCTGCATCTCCGGCCGTGAGGAAAGCTCTGGCAGGAGGACTTTGCACAATGACGCCTTTTCTAGGAGACAGGTACATGGTCCGTACACATGATTAGTATCCCTGACCAACGTGGCCGAGACCAATAAGTGGTTGACGGATCGGCTGTGGGACAAGACTCATCGGAATGGTGATGCCGCTTTGTTCGCTGCTGGGCATCCGCGTCATTATGGCTAGATGCATGGACTATGAACCATCATGTCAGTCGTCGCCTTGGAGTATCTAGATAGTTTGAGTACATATTGTAGTGTATATTATCATGGCTGCATGAGCCTGATCCATGTGTGTGAACCAGGGACACGGCTATTGTGTTCGATTGAGCTAGTATTTTGTTAACTCGCGAAAAAGCAACGCCCAGTTGTCAGCGCTGGTCACGGCTGAGACCCAGCATGCGCAAAGACCAGAGGAACAGGCAGATCCAGAGGCCGGATCGAGGGACATGAGGGACATGACATCCAACACAAGCCCCAGCGGGCCGCATGGGCTAGGACAAGGTTAACGGTGGGAAGAATGGCGATGAGCAGACGAGAAGAAAGGACTGGAGGGAGCTCCAAGCCCTCAAGCCCTCAAGCCCTCAAGCCCCCAAGCCCCCAGACCCCAAACGCTATGTACAAGACAAGCGTCGAGAGTTTATGGCTGAAGGCCGTGGACCCTTCAATGTTGAGCCCTTGCTGCCTTGTCCAATACCATCGTTGCTTCTCCAGCCAAACCGGCCAGCCTCCAGCGCTCCTTCCCAATGGTGTTCAATGCGGCCCAGTTTCCTAGTTTCTCGCAGTTCCCGCAACAACTTGTGAATGATGCGGCCTGGCAAAGTTGGCGGACAGGTTCGCCATTTGACCTTTTTAACGTTCGACGGTTTCTCTTTTCTATACACGAAACACACGTTGCATCCTACTGCGTACATCCAACCAACTTCCTCGCCGCAGGCTGCAGCCAATAGCTCTTTGCCTCTCTCTCCGCGTACCTCCTTGCGGTAGTGTTGTTGTTGTTTGTGGCTATCTGTTGATCATTCTGGCATTGGGACGGTACGGCGACATGGCCAATGACGCACACCTTGCCCTTAATGCTATTATACGAAGCCAGCCAGCCAGCCAGGTACGGATGGTGTGCACCAGCAATGAGGCATTTCAAATGCAATTCTGGCTTGTCTTTGGCCAGTTGAGTAGTAGCCAGTGGACCATGGAAGTAGGTCATCCATCCCCAAACGTGGTCACACCCCTCCTAGGCTTCATCAGGAACAGGGATCTTGTATCATGGGTGGTGGGCGTACCCGCTGATTTTATAGGTGAACTATTAACGTAACTGGCTGACTATTTCGCTTGACAACAGGACATCGTCTGAGGGCCTCGAGCCTCGCGCCTCGCGCCTTGGATGGCGGAGTGGGTGAACCACAGCCGGAGTTTACCATCAGTTGGGCTTTGAGTGAAGAAAGCGAATCACTGGCTGGGCTAATATTCTGCCATGCTGCTTACTCGCGACAACCCCTTGGCCCTGCCACGAGTATAACATATGGCCTCTCAGCACTCCGTGGGTGGAAAGATGGCTCGAAGTTGCAATATTACGGAGTAGTACCTCCAACCTGGAACTGTTAGCTTGTGCTCCGCAGATGCGCCGCCATGCCACTACGTAACCGTACTCCGTACTCCATGTGTGTATTTCCATGGCTACCTACTCCGTAGCTGGGTATGTGCTCTCTACTACTAGAAGATCAGGTCTACTCTTCTGTCTAGGTTTGCTGGGCTCGTTTTTGTCCGAGACATTTCATCATGCCACCCACGGCCATAACAAGAAAACCACGAGGGTTGTCTCTCCGGAGATGAGCGACCCCGAGCGATCCCCGGTCGAGCTTTACAGCGCTTGATTTCTTCATCCCGGCTCAGAGTATCAGTGCTGTCCCCGTTGTTAGGCCGCCTCAATGAAGAGAAAGAGATCGAGAAAGTGGACACCAGGACAGATTTCAAGAGAGAGCGGGAGGCCCGTCCACTAAGTGCCAGGGGCATTCCCTGTCCAACTGTCGTTACCCTAGTACCTTCCTAATCAATGGTTCACAGGAATCTCATCTGCTGGCTGCATAAGTCGTCCGACATCCAAGGCTGGCATTTCCTTCTCAGCCTCGCCTCTCTTGGAAAATAAAATTTCAAGAAACTCTCAGGGAGGAGGATGATCAACACATTCATGCCAGCTCAGGTGGTCTTTCGAATACCAACATACGGCTCAGCACCCGGTCAATCCAAGAACAGTACCCCGCCATGCCTGCGATGTTGACAACTTCCGCCATAGGCATCATGGCCCGGTCCGCTGCGATAGTTGGTTCCTCCGAGACTAGCGACGGGATGGCGTCGTAGCTATTGTACGGAGAAGTACGAAGTAGTGGCCGAGAATGATTGATTTCTTTTTCATTTTGCGCCCTTGAATTCTGTTTCAGCAGAGTAGGACAAGTTAGTTATGGCGCTGTTCGGCTGTGGCTTAAATTATGGTGGCCCACCCTCTTCCTCGCCATGCCAATGCTCCGTATGCAGTACATAGTACTCTTGTACGTACACACGACTGCAGTTTCCTTTTTCTTCATTCTGTCCAAGTCTGCAAACCGGTGAGATCGACCGCACATGTCTTGATACATGTTACATTCTAAGCAGGAGGTGTGTCAAGACACTGTCTTAACTTGTTTGCTTTGGGAGAACTGAATCTGAATTATGCTCCGTACTCTTTACGGAGTGCAGGTACTCTGTAGAGATAACAAATTTCATGCCGGCAGGCCTCGAATTCTCTTCTGCTTGGGACTATTGTGTGGCTGCGGGGTGCTTCCAATATTCCTCCCAATTTTGTAACAATGCTAACTACGGAGTAAATTGCTACAGATCTCATACGCGATTCATCTTGCACCCCTGAAAATGCTAGGTTCGGAGCAACAAGACGAGATGTATGCCGACGGGCCAGGTACATGAGCATGTATGTTCCCAGGCTGTGAGCTCTGTCGGTACGGCGCGGCGCGGCACACGTACGTATACATACTCGGTACATATTCACCAACGAAGAGTTTGCCGCTTTATCCCATAGTGTTGTCAGCCCAACACTTCTCAGATGAAATACTTTTGACAAACACTCTGCTAGACGAAGTGTTTTCTTCTTCTCATAACGCGGTTGTAAAAGGCCCCCAACATGCACGACTTTTTTCCCCTTAGTACATTATCTCCCGCAACAAGCAAAGATACGAACCGGCTAGGCCATCATTGGGCAGCAAGACAAAAGCTGTGAACCTTTGTTCTTCTCGCTGGGGTTCAAATGGCAGCATGGGCTGCTTTCCCGGGCTCTCAAGATGGCACATGTCCCTAGCCACAGCAGTTCCGCTATCCGGGCAAGTTCCAGTTGGCCAGCTCTGACCGAACCCCTGCCGCCTTCTTCGAGACCCTTGTTCATGGATTTGTCTCAGCTGCCACCTGGTGCTAACAGGCGGGAGGTTGTTGCAGGTGGAAGGCTGCTAAGTGTTTTTCGATGGCCAAGGATTTGCACACCTAAACCACCATCTGGCCGGCTCATAATTTTAATTACTGGTCGGCCGCGACGCTACTAGTTCGTAGAGAGTAGTACTTGGCCGTCCGCCACTTATAAAATCGGCGCTCAGACGCGCTGGATGTACATGGACGGGCCGCCTGTCCATTCAGGCACGAATAAAGCCCATTGGAGCCAGACTTTGATAGCCGGCCGAAGACACCAAACTTCTTGTTCCACCACGAGATGTGTTCCTCCACCTATCCTAAAAGGCAAGTATAGACGTGATGAATGGCCTAGGGAAGATTAGATGCGGCCAATGCCCGATGGATCTGCTGGGGGGGTGCACCTGTAGCGCTGCCGCGTGAGGTGGACTAGCTACGGAGTAGTCGCTGGTCGGCAAGCACCAGACCAAAGGACAAGAAACGAATCGACCAATTGCGACTCACTGACCAAACTGCTCGCCATTCATTCCCGTAGAACTGGGTCGAGTCTTCTCGGCAGCGACCTCAATGGTCACGAGGGGGAAATATATACTCCGTACCATGGTGAGATTCGCGACGTGACTAGTACTGGTATCATGAAGTTTTGGTCATCTGCAGCGGGAAGAGTCGGTCTGATTGACCCACCAGAAAACGACTGGAGGCACAGGCACAGGCACATGGCAAGAATAAGGTTACCGTCCAGTGTACGGAGTACTTGACGTACTGGAGAGAGTGCTTTCGTTGAATGTCTCCAGTCTGTCTGTCAATGATGGATCGAAGGCCTGACCACAAGGCAGAGACTTGGTGAAGTGGCATCAAGGAATCTGGAATATTGGCGAGACAACATACTCCGTACACCGATTTTAGTCTTTGATACTCCGTAGATGTATAACGAAACACGCCGGTGATATGGTCATAATGGTACCATCCAAGTGCTCTGCTCCACCAGATTACGGAATCACGGGTTTTCCTCCGTCATCTACTCCGTACTGCGCCCCGTGTCGTGCATGGCATCACGCTCGACTCCAGGAAATCGCGTGCAGGTCAATGCGGTGAGCACACGGGTCTCGTCGACGGCCCACTAACCACGAGCCTCGTTGAACTGATTGACGGTCTGGTGTTGTTGACTCGTTGCTCCGCACACAGACACAGAAGACCCTTATAGTACTAGTGGTAGTAGCAGTAGTAGTAGTGCTAATGCCGGCGGCAAGAGACGCATTCTGAAAGGCTGCATATGGACCACCTTTTTCCCAAGACAACCAGACCAGACATGACAAGGAGGGGGCAAACTTCCCGAACGTGCGTCCGCTTCAAATCGTCTGGCGGACGCGGCCCAATCTGCGGCCCTTCTGCATGCAAGCCAATACTGTACCTACTGCAACTGCTGCCCTTTCCATCTCGGCCGTCGCCCATCGCTTCAATGTTCCCACCTCTGTAGTAGCAGTTCCTGAACAGATCGGCCTGCATGACAGCTATAGAGTGAGTATGTGTGTAGTCATGTACGTACATATATACATGATATACATGATAACTACGTACTAGTCGTACCTTTTTCGAGGTGGACCCTGCTGCTGCGTATTGACAGTTTTAACGTTTTGTTCTAGTGAGAGAAGCTGGGGTTTGGACCAAGGCTCTCCATGTCTATCTAATATTCTCTCCCCGTCCTGCCCATCGACAACCTGCGCCTGGATCTAGGCAGCATGGGGCGAAATAGCAAGCGGCAGGTATACGCGCATGCAGATCATTACCATCGCAATTTTCTTCGGGTAGGCGGGCCATGACACACAAGACATGGGCTCCGCGCGGTGTGCTGCGTACAAGGCAGCCCGTTCAGCTACGGATGCCCTCTTTAGGAGGCACAATGGGCCGAGTAAGGTGCGCACGACGATGGCAACCCTGCCTGTTTACAGAAACGTCTGCTGCCAAGACGAGAGAGTGTCCGATAGAAACAACACAAGAGGCCCGGTTTGATTGGTACATCCGCCCACCTGAACTGTTCTCAGCCATGACAACAGAATGGGGAAAGACGTATGCATGTCTGGAACAGAGCATGGCCAGCACAAGGCAAGTTTGAGTCTTCTCGACCGGACTTGTACGCATCATGTCTTTTTTGTTCTATTGTTTCTGTCCTGTCCCTGCCCTGCCCTGTCCTGCCCTGCCCTGGGCCTTGTTTTAGATCCGCCAGTCTCATTTGTCCTCTCCTGTCCTGTCCTGTGCTAGTCCTAGTCCTGGTCAGGCTGGGCGGCACGCCGGAATGTTTGCTGTGTCGGTTTTTAGCAACCTCGCTTGTCAAGTGCCTGCCGAGACACGTCCCCGAGCCGCAGGTAGGCATGTCCCATTGCTGGCCCTTAGCCTCGTGACCGTTCCTCGCGAGTGTCAAATCGTCATACAATACTCCGTACCGAGTAGATCTGAAGGTGGCCGGCAAGCCCGATGTTGATTTTTCCTTTTGTTCGGCCAAGTTTGACGGCATACATCGTCGCAAACTGCAACATACTCCGTAACATGATTCAGAAACTGGACGCTGACAAACAAGACTGCTCCCTGATCTTACTGTTTGCCGGCCGTAGTGAGGATGAACGGTCAAGTGTCTGCAAGGTCAAGACGGAGAATTAGACGAGCCCACCACAAGGCTCCGTCGGCGCGGCCTTTGAAGTTGGGCTTGGTCCTAATAAACGGTCAGGCGTCGACGGACCCCTACCATGGCGCCACCCTCTGCGGAACAACCAGCCCTGCCCCAGCACCCCAATCATCCAGCGGCGCCCTCCCCACCATTAAAAGTTAATTATTGTAATCATCGTTTGATAATGGTTACTGTCGACATGGTTAGCGCTGTCACGATTGCTATTTGAAGGGGTGGGCGACGGCCATTGGCAGAGCTGAAAACCAGGGCAGACAGACCCAGCACCTGCGTCCCATAAAAAAGACAGACATGGCGCTGAATCGCAGGCAGCTTTCTCATTTGGCCAGTTACGCGTCGGCCTATGGCCGTAATTCCCCTTCAAAGAGATTTCGATTGACGTAGATGGTGTACATCAAGAGGCCAAAACGATGAGTCGTGTACTTACCAACGTCTTCATCTTCCAATTCATGCGCCAGTCCTACTCGTTGTGGCTGATGTTTCACCGATTTCCCATATACAATGGCCGTTTTGAACTGTTCTACAATGGTCCTGTGAATGGCGTTGCACTAAGAAAATCCCCGATGGTTAGCGTAAATGCCTTTTTGCTTTTTCTTTTATCAGTAAAATCACGCGATAGGGCGGGAACCAGATTTGGAATATTAAAAGCAAAAAAAAAAGGAGAGAGATCATATCTCGTACGAAAAAAGCCGGGTAGAGAAAAGACGTACAAAATCCTCAACGGTAGATCGGTTCGATCGTAATACCACGGGTGCAGAGTAATCAGGTTGTCTACCCTTGGGTTTTGTATAGACGCGCTTCAGATTGAGTTTCTCCCACATGAGTTCCATTAACTCATCGATGTTCCAGCCATGTTCAGAGCTAATAGGGACGGCGTTGGGAATGCGATAGAGAAGATCAAGTTCTTCGATGGAGATGGCATCGATCTTGTTCAGGCAATATACCACAGGGATGTAACTATTCCATTCTGTCAGTCTGGGCCACTCTAAGGGTTTGAAGTCTGGTGCTCAGACTTATTTGGCAATTCAAAATGCGTCTCCTGGGGATTGAACAATGACTTACGCTCGACTCTTGGCCTCGAGGATATCAATCAGGTCGTCCACGGTAGCATCGCAGCGGATCGTAATATCCGCAGAGTTGATTTTGTATTCGCTCATGACAGCCTTGATTTCGTCGTTATCGATATGTGTCAGGGGCACCGTGCTTGTAATATTCAGGCCACCCTTGTCCTTCTTCTTGAACGTGATGTTTGGCGGCTCCTTGTTTATTCGGATCCCGAACCCCTCCAGCTCGGCCTCGATGACACGCTTGTCTGTGAGAGGCTTGTTGACATCAAGAACGATGAAGATGAGGTGGCATGTTTTGGCCACAGCAATGACCTGTCGCCCTCGACCGCGGCCGTCTTTGGCACCCTCAATGATACCAGGCAAATCGATGATTTGCAGCGGTGCGCCTTAACACGTTAACTGCTGGTCTTTCCTTCCTATGCGATTTGCTTTATCCAGGGGACTTGACTGCTCAGAGGACGGCGTTTTATGTACTCCCTTGCCCCTGCCCCTTCACCACCACGTGGAGGGGGACGCCTTGTATGCCAGTCTGAACAGGCGGGGGGGAAACACTCACCATTATAAACAACCTGTCCGGGCACTGACGTCAAGGTGGTAAACTCATACGCAGCCGCCTCGGAATGCTGCCCTGTCAACCGGCTCATGAGCGTGCTCTTCCCCACGGACGGGAACCCAATGAACCCGATACTAGCGACGCCCGTTCTCGCGACGTCGAAACCTGAGCCGCCGCCGCCGCCTCCTCCGCTCGGCGTGAGGAGCTCGCGCTTAAGTTTGGCAAGCTTGGCCTTCAGCTGTCCGAGATGGAAGGACGTTGCCTTGTTCTTCTGCGTCCTTGCCATCTGTTTTCATTTCATTCAAGTTAGTGATGCCATGGAGGCGAGTATTCGTCATCGGCGGGGGTTGTTCTTGTTTTTTTCTGGCCCCCCTTCGCTTCGCTTGTACGCACCTCGGACTCAATCTCCTTGATCTACAAAATATGGTCAGCGCCCCGGCTTCTGGTCATTAATGCTTTGGGAGTAGGGCAGGGTACAAACCTTTTCCACGGTAGTCGACATGATGGCGGCAGTCGGAACGCCACGCGAACCTGTCTCAGTACGTGTTCAGTGATTCAGCGTCGAGATATCGAATTTGCCGGATATGATGCTCCGCCTGGGGGACGTTCGTGGGTTTGCGGCAAGAGGTTTTGGGCAATTGTTGAAGATCAAAATCGAATGTATAGCGGTAGTCGTTGGTCGTTGGTGGGGTAAATTTATTTTTTGATGGATAGGCCAGCTTGTTGGACCAGCCAGCCATGTCAGCCATGTGTCCGCACCGTAATGGACTACTATGTGCGTACTGTGCTCCGGTGCACTCGATGACCACGTATATATACGTCAGTCAAGCATTCTGTCTGGTACACACGTTTCACATCACTTTATCAATTATTATAGACCTTGGAACTTTGTACGTAACCCAGTCTCTTTTGGACGGCTACACACACACACACAACCAAACAAAGGTATCTCGTCAAAACTCATCACGTCAAAAACGCCTCAGCTGATGCTTTTCACCCCTGTGGTCCAAGCCAACCGAAATCAATGGCTTCAATTTCCCTTCCAGCACAAAGCAACCCATCCAAAAACAGTGGTAAGGAGTCGTCTCGCGCTGAATCCGACGTCCTTGAGATATCCCAATCCGGTTTTGCTCCTGCAGATAATCACACAAAGACCTGCTCCGTCCCATCCCGTCCAGTTCGTCGAGACCGATCGCCGGGTACAAAAATCAAAAACCTGATCCACCTGCCCAACCCGGGCTGATCAAACAAGAAGTACCGAATCCACTGTCTATAGACACTCGTATGGACCGTAACAAATGAAACCGAGATTAAACATAGAGTAGTGTTTCCGGAAAGGGATAATTTAACAAGTGTATTGTCGGACAGCGGTGGTAGTCATCATAATCTGCAACGTTCATATCCCGTCATTCGCCTTCCATCTACCTGAAGCAACTTCTTCTTGTTCTCCTTCTTCGATATGGATGATAGTGTTCCTCATTGGTCAGCCCAACGTAGGGAAGCTTAGTCGGAAGTGCCATGAGCCCCATTAAGTTTTGCTCCATTCGCGAGTCCACTGATGCCATTAACAGACGGTTTGGACGGCGTCGTCGCCGTCTGCATCGTCGGCGACGAATGGTCTCCATTTGGTAGTGATGGTGTTTGCAGGCCCTTGACCAAGTGCTCTAGACCCTGTTCCATGCAAATTCGCTCATAGTCAGGGTCCTCGGGGAACACCTGCACCAAGCCTCGTCGAGGAACTCTCTTCTCAGGGAAGGGTGTTTTGCTTGTTTTATGGCGAGTTGGCAGGTCTTCGCCAACAAATACACCATTGATATAGTACTTATTGCGTGGAGCAAAGACATGGAACCGTTCGGCACCCGGGTCTTGTTTCCACTTCTGGGTTACTTTCCATCCGAAAAGTTGGGATTCGTTTTCCAATAACTCGCGGTAGTTCACTGCGATTCGCAAATTCCGAAGGTGAGGGATGTTCGGCACCGTGTATAAGAAGTCAGAGAGCTGATGTAACATGGTTAGTAAAAGTAAACAAATGGGCATATTTGCACTGCCTTACCTTTACGAAGAACATGTCCAAAGTCTCAAACTTCTTCTTTGCATCCTCTGTCAACTGTTGCTTTGTGGAAAACTCCAGCTGAGAAGGGTCAGTGCCATTGTAACAGCCAGGAAGTTGCCGGCCAAGATCCCATAGATCTTCCGACAGTAATGTGTATTGACGCCACTCGGTTCGCCAAATTTGGACCTTGTTTAGGTGGGTGACAGGTGCTCGTTCCCACGCAGTATCTGCAGTGGCACATATCAGTCAACTGTTCGTTTGGCAAGTCGAAATTTGTACTTACATCTAGAAAGGTCAAGGTCTTTCTCGCCAAGAAGTAGGGCCACATTGGTGTTGAGAAGCCACTGCTCACGGCCTTCAGCAGTCCCCGTTGCATCTTGCCGGATGGTGTCGTACCGGAAACCCAGCACGTTCTTGAACTTCTCGGCAATAGCTCCGGTTTTCGGGCCAGGGTGCATGTCTAGCCAACGGAGGAGAGGAGGAAGTTTCTCAAGACGAGCACGTTCTTGCTCTTCACGTTGACGCCTCTGCTCAGCCTCTCGTGCTGCACGTTTGCGCTCCATCTCCTCTCGATGGGCACGTTCGCGGCGCTCGCGCTCTTTTCGCTCTTCTTCTTCACGTTGTCGCCGTGCCTCCTCGGCCGCCTCGCGTTCCAACTGTTCTCGATGAAGTCGCTCCTCTTCCTCGCGTTGCCTCCGCTCCTCCTCGGCCTTCCTCTTCTTCTCTTCTTCGAGCCGCTTCTTTTTCTCTTCCTCTTCACGCTGAACAGCTTCACGACGCTCGCGTTCTTCTTGCTCCTTACGCTGTTTAGCCTCTTCTTCTTGGCGCTTCTTTTCCTCCGCGGCTTTCCGAGCCAATTCCTCTTCGCGCTTCTTTGCCTCTTCTGCCTCGAGACGCCTTTTTTCCTGTTCTTCCTCTTCCGCCCTCTTCTTTTTGGCCGCCTCTTCTTCAGCTTCTTTCAGCCTGGCTTGCTCTGCTTCTTCTTCCTGCTTTGTGCTGTCCATATCCCTAGATTCCGTGTCCTTTGCAGGCTCAAGATCAGGCATCGGTATATCCACATCTTCGGACTTAACGTAAATAGATTTCTCACCAGATGCGCATTGTCCGAAATTTTTCATTTCAGAATCACGCTTCTTGCCATCTTCACGTTCCTTGTGGCTGGAAGTAGATGAAGCCTTAGAAGATCCATCACGAGATGAGCTGGATTTGCGCTGCCGCCCATCTTCGGAAGGCACCCGCTTCTGGCGAGATTCTTGGCTCTCAGCATCCAGACGGCGTCTCTTAACTGGGACATCATTGCCATCTTTATCAAAATCACTGGGGTGGTCAGGCGTCACACTTGTGCGATGCCGCTTGGCTGAGCCGTCCCCTGATGGTCGATCTCGCGATTCGTCTCGCTTGAGTGCCTTGGCACGGTCATGGTATTTCTCAGAAAACCTCGGCTTCTCAGGAACATCGTCGCTTCGAGATTCTCGCGGGCTAGAAGGCTCCTTATGAGAGGAAATTCGCTTGTGCTTATCTCGTTCACCTCGAAGTTCACCCTTCGAAACAAGCTTTCGTCTCGGCTTCGCGGCCTCACCTTCCGAGGACATGGCGGCAACGTCTGAGTCTGTTCGCTTTGCCTTTTGAGTCTTGTATGACAGGGCAGGCGAAATCTCGCGGTCTGAGATAGCCGAATGCTCTTTTTTAGGCCGACCAGGGCCCCTCTTAGGAACTTCGTCATCTCCTCTATGGTTGATGGAGTTAGCCCGTCTTTTTTCTCCGGGGCTGCCCAACTTCGACGACTTTTTCTTGAGCTCTACATCTCGAGACGGGCTTGACATTCGTCGTCTGCTGGACTTCGGCCCTTCCCCTGCGTCGTCCCGCCTTGCAGCCTTGTCCCGTCGGCCCCCCGGGGATTTCATTTTAAGACCATCCTTGTGGGATCGTTTATATTCATCGTAGGCTTCTTTGAGTTTGGTCTCCTCCTCCTTCCAGTTTGTTCCTTGCCGTCTCTTGGCTATTTCGTAATACGTCTCTCCCTTAAAACGCCGAGTCGGATCGAATCCCTGCTGTTCTAAAAGTAATTCTACAACCTTAATATTTTCTTGACCAATCGCTGCGAGAATGGGTGTCGCAAATTCGCCAGGAAGTGAGGGAACGGGGCCGGGGTCGGCATTCGCTGCACCCAAGCCCAGCAATAGTTGGATCACCAAGTCATGACCTCCTCTAGCTGCAGCTACCATCGATTCAGGGTCGTCGTATCCTTCCTTGACTTGCAAGATGCGGGCAACCGTTTCCTCGTCGCCACGACCGGCAGCTTGCCGCAAGGTTTTGTCATCCAAGGGCATGTAGAGCAGGTCATTCCTGGTCTTGGTAGAGCGAACAGTTCCGCTTCTGCGACCTGTGCTGGTTGAGGTTGTTGCAGCTGGCGAATGTCGGGGGCTGTCAGGGGCATGAGAGTCGCGTGTATCGTGACCTTCCCCATGTGAGTGTCGGTCTTCTGATGTTCTTCGCCTGTCACCCTGACGTTTTTTAGCTTCAGAGATGGCGGCACGGATTTCTTCTGCATTATCAGTATCGTCGCTGACACGGTCGATAGGTTCCTCCCCATTCACATTGGCCTTTCGCGGGTTCACGCCAGCATCGAGAAGCAGCCTCACCACGCCAAGGTGACCGTTGTCGACAGCATCAAGCAAAGGAGTGTCCTTGTCGTAATTGACGCATTCTAAATTGCACCCAGCGTCGATCAGGAGTTTAACAATATCTTCGCATCCATTAATTGCGGCAATCTGAAGAGGCGTATTTCCAGCATAGTCAGCGACGTTCAGGTCTTCGGGTCGTTCTTGCAGCCGTTGCTTTGCCCCTTCGTATTCGCCACGGGCGCAAGCGCGGGCTAATAATGTCTGCCCGTGAGCATCGAGGTGTTTTTTGTGAGGTCCCATCTTGGCCGGCGACACATTTGCCTCGGCTGAAGCCGGAGTGGCCAAGCTACGTAATTTGGAGCTGCGGGGATGGGGGCTGCCGCCCGTAGATGAGTCGTCCGACTGATAGTCTGTAGATTGGAGAGGTGGGGGGAGGCGTCGTTTCTTGATACCCAGGCCGTTTGATGACTGTGACGGAAATTGCGTAGATATACTTCGTCGATGTTGTCGATATGGGGGGGATACGGATCGATTTCGGCCTTCAATCTTTGGATGAGATGATCTGGAATCCTTGTGTCGACCAGTATCGACACCGGCGCTTGTTGTGCGCTGACGGCGCGCCTTGCGAATGTCGGCCTCTTCGTCGGACTCGATCTTGGGTGCTTTGCGTTTGTGCGGCACGAGCCGTTCGCCTGACTTGAGCTTATCGCGTAGAGATGCCTTTGAAGATATCTTATGATGGGACTGTTCGGAATCTGATGGGGATGAGGGGCCAGCGTCAGAACGCCGCCTTCGGTTAGGATGATGGTTTTGGTTTTGTTGTTGCAGGTTATGGAGTGGAGAAACGGGTGAAGAGCTCATGCCACTTGAAGCTGCTTCCTTGTTGCGAGGTCGACGGTCCTTGTCGGCGGAGGAACCAGCAGAGACGGACGGGCGCTTCTTCCTGGCACCTTCGACGAGCCGGCTGCCAGCTGCGGAGGCGGCTGCTCCTTCGCCATCATGAGTGTGTTTTCCATTGCCGTTGGCGGCGTTTCCCTTGGAAGCGTCACCATCACTTTCGCTCCTGTCCTCCTGTCTCACTTTCCGGGCCTTTGAGGGCGAGTGGCCATCCTTGCCTGGCAGCACGATGGTCTCGGCGTCGGAGTCGCGGTCCTCTGGTGCATCGTCGGGGCGGGCAGTCAACGAGGAGGCGGAAGCATCGTCAGCAGTGGCAAGGCCAGTCTTGGGCTTGGGATCCCGTGCTGGCGACATGGCCTTCACGAGGGTTGGCGATTTGGATTTCTTGCCAGTCTCAGAGCTTGGCCGCTGCTGAGAGGAAGCGCCAGCAGGCCTCGTCTGGTCCGACTCGGCGGCATTCTGCGCATCCATGTCATTTATCTCAAAGAAGAGCAAGCGACTAACACCATCCTGGGAGATTCGAGACGACAAGTTTGATAAAATGACGCCGTGGTAAGCGGCGACGCTGGGCAGTTGAATTGAGGAACGATTCGACACAATCGACGACTACGTGTTACGGCTGGAAATATGAAGCAGTGGCGTCGAGAGCGCGCGAAAAAGTGCTGGATCCGGATGACGAGTGAAGGGCTGTCGGGCGATGCTGTAGCCCCTATCGAGGGCTTCCTTGGACAAGCCCCGACACGGGAGAACTGGAAGTGCGGCGCTGAGGGCGTGACTATAGCTGATCGCGTCGTCGGTTGTTTTGTCGCTACCTACCGACAGACAAGGGATGAGGGCTGCGGGTAGGAATGGTTGTGGTTGATGGAGAGAGAAGCCTCAAGTTAGACGAAGGTGGCGGCTGCGAGGACGGTGGCAAAGGAGGATGGGATGGGATGGATGGATGGATGGATGGATGCAAAGATAGAGGAGAAACGACCAGACACGGCCAAAAGCCAAAAAAAAAAGCCCAAGCAGGACCAAAGCTAGACACGAAGAACCGGCTGGGCTGGGCTTAGTGCTTGAGAGTGGATTGACTGATGGGGACGGGGATTGACGAGTGCTCAAGTGCGACGACCGGGCCTTGTGCGAACCGGGATCAATTGATTGGGACTGGCTGGTTTTGGCTGCCGCATGAGCCTGAATCTGCGGATGGAATACTGGTGATGGCAGTCGTATCAACCGAGAATATTGGACTGCCTGGTGCGGTCTGGTTCAACCGCGAGGCCCCGTCCCAGCGCATTCCGTCTGGTGCCATCAATGCCAATATTCCAGCAAGGCAGCACTAGCACTGCACAGCAGCTGGCCAGTACTGAGTACCGAGTACCTAAGTCCAGATGTCCTCAGTATCTTGAAGTACAATATACGTGCCACGCCTGGGGCTCGATACCGGGCGGCCAGCCACGAGCTTGTATTGCCGGTACAAGCCAGCTGCATGTGCTTCTCCAGCTGTCCAGTGGCGGGCCCCGCTGCGCCTGCTTGCTCAACTGCTTGCGACCAGGCACGACCAGCATAACACAGCACAGCTCCTTCCTGCTTCCTGCCTCCGCCAAACTTTGTACGGCGTAGAAGTACTTGGTGCGAGTCGCAATAAAAAGGATACGCATGTCCTACAATCGCTCCCCATCCACCCACAGCCAAAGTCTGATCGTCGCGCAATGATTGGGCCAGTGGAATGAAGGTGGGCCTGTCTGGTCCAGCTAGCGCTGCGGACAAATGGCGCAGTTTTGGGCCGAAACGCTGCGTCGCCCAGCCATCAAGCATCACGCGAGCCCCTCACCTTTGCGCCCTACGACTGGCTGCCTGCTTTGAGGTGCTCCGTCCTGCATCCAATATTCTCAAACGATCGAGGTCCGATGCTTGCAAGTAGATGCCGTACATTGTACGGAGTATGTACCTAATGTAGTTGCAATGTGATTGATTTCGACGGCGAGAGGTGACGGGCCCAGGTGCCAGAGATGCAATAAATTCCTAGGTACTCCGTACATTCTTACTAGTACTCCGTATCCATCAACAATATCAGCACTTGTTCCGCCGTCTCGCACAATTTTTCCGGCTTCGTCTCCACCCCGTCGCCCACTCACAGTGCCAACACCACTCATCATCACCATTTCTTCCACCTACTCCGTACTCCGTACCGGGCCCCCCTTTCCAGCCCCGTCTACTTATCGACAAGAGAGCCGTTTCTGCCTAGTCTCTTGCTCCAAGAAGCTCCAACCTTTTCTCTCTCTTGTCCATTGCTAGCATCATGCGTTTGTTGGCCAGATAACCCTTCACCGCCCAAACCTAGCTCGTGCTTTCTTCAAGGATACGCGCCTCAACAACACGGCACGAGCACACGGGTCTTGTCCAACTCGCCATACCCTATTGCCAGATGCACCGTGCACATTCTTCCATGTGCCACCTCTACCTGTCTGTCTGCATTGATTTCCCCTTGCCGTGGCGAGTCTGACAGGTGGTCAGTGCCATCGCATCCGTCTCCATCCACGAACGACGGGGCAAACACTCTGACGACGTTGGACATGCGTTTGATGATTCGAGAGACCTGGCATCAACCTGTGTCTTTGCTTTTGGCACTGCGTCGTCATTCGCCACGCTACGTCTGGCTTGAGCTGATTTCACCTTGGAACAGACTGTAGCACTATTTGAGACACCGGTGCTGTTGATCTACCTTCTGTCTACTCCGTACCGAGTACTTCAACACAAAGAGTACCACAAGAAACAAGAGGCGGGAAAGCGACGTCCCCGCGAGTCTGCCTGCTCCTCCCCATCCGAGAGCCTCACGATGGCAACAAACCAAGTCTCACTGCCGCCTTCGCTAGAAGATGCCAGGATACATGGCCTGCCGTCCGCGGCTTATTATATTCCCGACTTCATCAGCGAGGAGGAAGAGCACTTTATACTCGGCAAAGTATGTCAACCCCGGCCCCCTTCGCTCGCCTTCTTCTCAACCAACGCATGGGCCATGATATGTGTGTATTGTCACATTGTCTCTCTTACTGCTACTGACCGTGCCGCCTCAGATTGCTGGCGCCCCGAAGCCTAGGTGGAAACAACTCACTCATCGTAGACTGCAAACCTGGCCGTCCGACCTTGTCCAGAACAGATTGCTCGACTCTCCTCTTCCTGAGTGGCTCGAGAATCCAGTAGTGTCCCGAATCTTGTCCCTCTCCACCGTCAAATCCGACGGCGGCTCCAAGCCCGGCCCCGACCTCGAGGCAGAACACATCTTTGCTCAAAGCCCGCATCGACGACCGAACCACGTCCTCATCAACGAGTATCCGCCTGGCGTAGGCATCATGGCACACAAGTTAAGTATTTAGCTCTACAACGTAGTACAATGCCCCTAAAGCTCATCCGACCTAGGATGGCGCTGCATATTGGCCTGTCGTGTGTACCGTCAGCCTCGGGGCCAGTCTCTGCCTCAACCTGCACCGGAACAGAGACGACGGTGCTCTAGATCCAGTCCCCGCATGGAGAATTCTCCAGGAACCTCGTAGCCTGCTCATCACAACAGATGACTTATACACGGACTACTTGCACGGCATTGCGGATATTGAAGAAGACCTCGATCTGTCTGCAGATACTATAGTAAACTGGTCAACGCTACGATGCTCTCAGCAATTTGCAGATGGGCGCAATGTACGCCAGACAAGGACCAGCCTAACCTACCGAGACGTCCTCAAGGTGTCAAGGATGGGGAACAAGCTTGGCATGTTCTCCAGACGGTAGCCCTAGGCAGTAGAGTTGCACGGCGATTGTGTCGCCACCAGAGGCGGCTGTTCCTTAGAATACACCCGGCATCATCATCCACTTGTTAGCCACTGTGTCCGCTCCAAACTTGCCAGCATACCACTTCTTGGTACCGTGTGCTGTAGAACCAAGATTGGCTACGACAAAAGCCAGTCCACACAAGACGGACACATTGAAAGCGCGGCCAGGTGGTGCTGCCATGATCGAAATCGCCAGATATATGACACACTCAGACGTGTAGTGTGGGCAGATGATGTACTTGAACATTCCCTCGTCCGGAAGTGTATACTTCTTTAAACTGGCCAGATATCCATGGCACTTGTACTGCGCAAACCACGCACCAAAGAACACGGTCAACGTAAACAGTGCTCTTGAGGTCAAGACCACAGCCTTCGTGGGAGCTTGCCATGATTCAAGAATCGCCCCTTGTAGTCATCAGCCACAGCCCTCGAACACCACGCCGTCTTGAAGCTAAAGCAAACCATGACAACGAAAAAGAGTACGAGGGAAAGTAAAACTCACCGGACCCTTCCACCCACACAGAAATACCCATGAGCCCGTAAAATCCCAACCCCAACACCCAATGCACCCACCACATGGGCGTCCTGCCGGGCTTCACCACCCAGAAACACTCAAACAGTCTCCTTCCGCCCTGAGCCGCCATCATTAACCACGCGAGAAGCACACGGTCCAACTCTACCGACGGCTCTCCCGACAGGGAAACCTGTCTTTCTGCAATGAAGGACACTACTGATCCATGAGTAAGGTACTGCCATGCCCAGAAGGCAGATAGACACGTGGACAACAGATAGAAGTGCCAGAAGTATGAATGTGGGAGCTGCCCCATGGCCGTCAGCTTGCCGAGCATGGATGCGAGCTTCGAGCTTGTCGGGGCGGAGGAGCCCCGTGGTCGACGGGCGCCGTAGTCCGTGAGTGTGCTGCGGGCTTCATTGGGAAGTAGTTGGAGGGAGAGGACGGATGCGGCTGCTAGGAGGAAGAACGTCTGACAGTATGTTGCGGGTGGTGTTGTCGTCAGTCTGTGTATTAGGGGCTGGAGGGCGTCCATTGTGGTTGGAGTGCTCGGGGGATGGAAGGGTTTGGTTTTGTCCGCGGAGCTTTTTGGCTTGTTGGCGATGGCCTGGTATATGAAGCTGGGTGGTGGATCTGTGCTACCCTATATATGTGGTGGTTGGCCAGATTTTTTTGATTTTTTTTCAAATAGATCTATAAGACCGGGAGTGGTTTTGGAAAATGCTCCAACTCAGATTGGTTTAATGCGGTTGAGATGTGTGTAGACTGGATCATGTTCGAACAGTTGGCTCTTGGGTAGAAGCACGTATGTGTGTCCCATGGAATTAGGGAGTGTCCAACTACACAACTACCTGGATAGTGCTTCGGATGCTGACCTATGTTGGTACCATAAATGAAGAAGATGGTCTCTTTTCTTCTCAGGAACAACAGGCTAGTGAAGTACCCCAGGCCGACTATTGGCTACAAGTTCGATGAGATCCTGCATTGGGAAAAAGGTCCTCGAATGTGGTTGTCATCTATTCCGTGCTAGAGACAGATAGCCAACAAAAGGGTCCAAGTTTTCACAAAACCTAACTTAATCCCACGAGTCGCAGATTCTGCAAAGCAATCAGCTGGATAATGTGAGTTGAAATTGAATATATAACCGAAAAGAAGTGCCTCGCCCAACAGCTTCGGACTGTTGACAACGCCAATATACCAGGTTTGAGAGCTTGACTCGAGCGGCCAAAGCAGCAAAATTACATACATCCCTATACCCCTTCACATTGAAATGAAATCCTTTTCACCTTCGTCGCTCAAAGTTTCAGTTTATCCGCACCCAGACCGCAGGCCTTAGCAGCCCGGCCAGCGCTTGCACTTGTCCTTGGGGTCAACCCACTGGTTAACTCTCAGGCAATCCTGGTACTGAGCCTTGCAACGCTCAAGAGCCCAGGCGGGATTGTTGCCGCCCCATCCCCAGCATTGAAGGCTGTCAGAGCCCCTTGCGGACCAGGCTCCCGTGGAGACGGAGCCGGCGGCGGCGCAGGTGCCGGAACCTCCGTTGTCCGGCCCGGACCAGCGTTTGGCAAACTCCTCGTCAGATTCGCCGGCTCGCTTGCGCCAGCTGTCCCTCCAGCCTAGGGACTCGCAGCCCTTGTTGTAGGTGGCGACGCAATGCGTGTACTGCTCCTCGCAGGCCTGGGAGCACACGCTGGGCCACCGGGGCCAGGGGAAGCCGGGGCAGTTGCGGCTCTCAGCTTCGGTGTAGTACTTGAAGGGCTTCTCGTCGAACTCGTCCTTGCAGTCGTTGCAGCCTACGACGGGCAGGGGGATGCCGCCGACGGGCTTGCCCGGACCATAGCCGTACTTTTGGTTAGTGGGTTGCGTGCAGATGTTGGTCGGCTCGGGAGGGCACGAGGTCGCCGGCTTCGTGGTCGTGGTAGCAGGCTTGGAAGTCGTCGGGCAAGGATAGACAGATGTCGTGGTGGTAGGGGGATTGCTGGGAGGCTTGCCGCCGCCGCCGTGATGCTTGTCCCAGCAGTCCCATTTGCCGCAGCTGTCGGAAGGGCACCAGGATGCGCAGTAGGCGTCGATGAATCCGCACCAGGCCTTGAATTTGAAGCATTCGATAGAGCCGGGCCAGCCTGCGTTCTTGAAGCATGAGGAAACCTGCTTGTGGCAGGTCTTCTGGGCAATGATACAGCCGTTCTTATCACCCCAATGGGGGAGAGGAGGAGCACACCAGCTGCCACACTGCCACTCGCACTTGGGAGGGAGAGTTACCGTAGCAGTGCAAAGGTTGGTGGTGGTGTGAGGTATATCCTTGGTGGTAGTAGTTGGCTTGGTAGTAGTCTGGGGCTTGGTAGTTGTTGTAGTCTGGGGCTTGGTGGTGGTGGTAGTCTGGGGCGTTGTGGTGGTGGTCTCAGGCTTTGTGGTAGTAGTCTGAGGCTTGGTGGTTGTGGTAGTCTCGGGCTTTGTAGTTGTAGTAGTCTCAGGCTGTGTAGTTGAAGTAGTCTCAGGCTTGGTAGTTGTAGTAGTCTCGGACTTGGTAGTGGTTGTATCAACAGGCTTCGTTGTAGTCGTATTGCTGGGAGGCAGAGACGTGGTAGTTGTACCAGGCTTGTGGCCACAAGGCTCAAGAGACTCAAGATCCTTGGCAACCCACAAGTTTAGTCGACCGCGTCCACCGCAGGTGTCGGAAGAGTCGCCCTGGCAAGGCATATTGCACTGAGAGGTATCAGCCTTGGCAGTGTCGTTGGCCAGGACAACACCGCACCAACACTCCTTGCCAAACTCGACACCAGCAAAGGGGAAGCCTTGCTTCTCGCACGCCGCCAGGCACTTCTTGGTGGTGAAGGTAGAGGCATCAAGGTCAATGGGATAGGAGAGAGTGCGGCCCTTGGGAGAATCGTCGGTGTAGCAACCGAGAGACTTGTAGTCATCGACAGTGACGTCGCTGGGGCTCTTGGGAAAGGTAGGATCCTGCCAGACTGAAAGAGTGTTGTCGCCACCACAGGTCTCGGTCTTGTTCCCGCTGCAGGGGAACGAGCATTTGGACTCATCGAGCTGAGCGCCGTTGACGGTAGCACCGCAGAAACAAACGCCGTAGTACTCAAGACCAGCATATCGGAAGCCATTGCCTAGAATCACCATGTTAGTAATGAGATATGAGAGCTTAGTCGACTCCCTTGTTACTCGAGTGAGGAGTATATTGGAGTCTACGCAAACTAGTTTTCTCGCTTAACGGCCACATACCCTTGCAGTCAGCAATACACTTCTCAACCGTCATATCCTGCTGGTCCAGGCTGGACCGGAAAACGAGAGCGTTGGGGTTGCCATCTTGGAAACAGCCAGAGTAAACAAAGGGCTTGAAAGGCTCAATGCAGGGAGGTAGCTCAATGTTCCATGCCTGGGTGATCGAGACAAGAGCCGCAGCCGCAACGGCCAAGGCTGACCTACACAAGGTCATGTTACCTAAAAGGTGTTGTGCGAAAAGAGGCAAAGGCTAAGGGGAGTCCAAGTATAATATGAAGGATGAATAGGACAATCTCCCACAACGAAGAGAGAGAAAACCTAGTGATACAGGAGAACCCAGAGATTCTCTCAAGGCAGATGCCAGAGGATCCCGAGGCTATATATACTCGAGAATTCGCGCGCTCATAAAGGGTCGTCGAGAACCCCAGGCCGGCAGTCGAGGCCCAGACCTGTTATGGACACTTTAACCTCTCCTTATTTGGGATATGCAGTAGTTACATGCCGCTCACAGGATGATGGCATCCGCGCGGGTCGCCGCATGCACCATGTTTGCCCGATGGTCTCCTATGCCCTGTTGGCCCTTGGGCAAAACCCGAAGGCCACCTGAGCTAGAGACTCTGGTCAAAGTCCCATGTTGACACTGTCTGATGTACATGGGCACGAGCCAAGCTGGCCAGGGATGTTGAGCTAGAAGCCCGAGCCGTGCATTCTCGGATAGGATCCAGGGCTTCAACCGAGTCCACAGCCATCGCTCGCCCAGCCCGAGAAACTGGCTCCACGCTCATCGGCCCCGCGGGCCGGGGCTAGGGATGGCACAGCAAGTCTTGTCGGGTTGTCAGGCCATTGGGGGCGAATGTTTGTCATGCAATAATCGTTGAGTCTGCAGGGACCTGGAGAGGTAGCAAGCGTGCGGATGCGGGGACGACAAGCAATACTATTGTTCTTCGCCGCCGGCAGGCACGATAAGACAGCCAAACTGCAGGATCAGAGAGGAAAATATGATCCTTGGAGTTGTGTATTGCACGCAGGCTGTCAATGGGTCAGTGGCAGAAGCTCTCTCAACACAAACAAACGCACCTTTTAGTTATGGCTACCGGATTAGGAAAGGCAAGAAGAGCGAAAAGAAAACACAGCCTTGCCATTGGCGGAAACGTCGGGGGCTGCGACTCAACAACATCCACAACCACATCCACCCACACAGAGTGCTGCACAGACAACTGAGGAACAACGGCTGCTGACCCAGAGAATCTGGCCCCAGACGGGAGGATGGCCGTATGTGGCTCGAGGGACGAAAGGCTTGCTTGGGTGTCTACTGCAGCTAGCCCAATCGCGTGGACCTGCATTAGCAGATTTACAGATGGCATGGGTCTGCTGTGAATGAGCCGACCAGGCGACCAGGATACTGAAGCTCTGACCCCTGCCGGGAGCCAGCTCGGGAGGGGACTGCGACAAGCCGCAAGCAAGCCCGTCTTTGTACACCGTACTCAGTACCATTTCCAAATACAGGGTTACAATGCTTGAGCTGGGCTGCCAGAGGTCCATTCAGTTGGAAGCAAGGGGCTCGGTAATATGGCCCGCGAGCCCTTTGCTTCTTTGCGTGGACTGGTTTGGACCTTGGTGGTTTCCTCGACTTGTTTCTGTGTGTGTCGGTATCGTCGTCGCCTGGCCTTTGCGCGGGATGGCTGTCAAAACCAAACACTCAACTCTTGTGCCATGGAGGAAACTTCCCCGTAGCCCGTACTATTTGACGAATTTCCTCTTGGTTGTCGAGAGCCACACTGTGACCACTTTGATGATATCTGAAACCTGACAAACGCCCCGATCCCCTCTGTCTAGGCCGTAGCCTGACGTGGAAGACCTTGTAGCCCAGTCAAGTTATTCTTAGCCACAATCAATCTTATTCTCCGAGCATGGTCTGGCCAGACATGTTTGACAAGAGTCAGCCACCACTTGTTGCCTATTGGAGTGGCTGCGGGAGTCCCTGGACGGTTGTTACGCCACGCTGAACGTTGCGAGGTCGAATACGAACCCATGCAGTCGCTCACTGGACAAATCGTTGAACAGTGCCATGGAAATTGCACTTTGTAAATTCTGCCTGCATCTTCCCGTTCTCTCGCCCCCACGCCCCAGTTGTGGTCCGCCATCTGCAGATTCCGAAGGCCAAGGGAAAAAAAGAGAGAAATTCAACAACACAATGGTGCATTCACCTCTTTCCCAGACTTTCACTCAACCCGCGTCCTACACCAAATATTTGGTATACCGACCCGTCAGATGGGGGTTCGATCCAAAAAATCCTTCGAATCGATACTCTGCCTGGATGTGTCTATCATGCCCGAACTCTTTTCCAACTGCCTCACTATCAAACTTTTTTTGGGTGGCCAAAGTGTCTGTTCAACTACCATGGTCACCCCATCTGAGCTCCGCAAGAGCCATTTTCTGGCATCATGTTTGTTCATTGATACCGTGATGTGTACTTGATAAGTCGTCCCTTGTCAGCGGTTGACCGCATAATATTGGCAAAAGACCTGAAAGGGTATCACGCCAAGAATAGCCAATTGAAAGAACCAATACTAATCACAAGACATAACAAGTTACTTACAGGATGCGCCATAGTCGGATGCTGGCCTCACACGGCACCCCCATAGGCCGGATCTGGCGTCAACACGGCAGGGCCGCTAGACCTTATTTCATATTAGCACTGGGATATCATAAACGGCGTTGGCGCAAAGGCAGCATGAGGTACTAGTATCTTGCTCCCGAAATGAGAAGTCATCAACTCAGCTTTAGCCACCACCCACACTGCATGGACCTAAGGACTAACCAGTTCAGCTTCTGGGTGACAGTTTCCTTGGGGTAGTATTCTTATCCATCCAAGCCGGGAAGCCAGCTCACTAAACTCTGTATTGCCTAGCAGAGTTTGCTGGCCGGCGCCAGTGCGTTCAGGATTTGGAAATGTTGCTTCCGCCTGTGCCCTGGCCCCTTCTTGCTTGTTCAGCCCCCCGGGACGGGCATTGCTTTTTATTGTACGTACTCCGTACAAGACGGTAAAGATTGATACCGCGGTGGTTTCTAGGTTTTGTATTAGTCGTGTTGTTTAAGCCTTAAACATGGCAGACTCGCGGGCTTTGGCTTTAGACGGGCTTGGCTACATGGCGGCTCGAAGGCGTGCCTGTCGATCCAAGACATGACCAACCCTTGGACATGTCCGAATTGTGCGAACCCACCATATAGGCGTTGGCCAGTTCTCCAAAAGGCGTGCTGTCGTTCGTTCGGCTTTCAGCCACAAGGCAACCGTGATGTGATCAACCAGACATCCTGTCGAGTCATTGGATACTGTGCACGTATTCAGAGAAATTCCACCACGGACAAACGAATGACGGCAGGATCGGTTGGGCTGGCAAAACGCTTCGTTCTTTGGTTTTTTGTCATGGCCTTGGGACTTCAATGTTTGGTACCAACCAGGATTGCATTTACCACCCTGGCCCGTTAGGCCAACATGCTCCCTTCCACTTTGGCGGAAAGAGCGATGGTACTCTCCAATTGCTGCCAGTCTCGGCCGGCGAAACAACGCCCGCAATCCCTCCCGACGACAACGATTAGACGGTGGCCGCAGCACTCCCGTGATCCCTTGACCAAATGGGTCTCGTATAGTAATCGATACCCCAAGGTGCTGGATCACCGCTAATCTTTCATTTTGCAGGCTGCTCCAATATTCGAGGAACAGAACATGGGCAGTAGACCGATAGGCGGGCCATCTATCCATCGAGGCCGCCTCACCCGACAGCCTCAAAAATTGCTTCTGTTCCTTGCTGGCCTGGTCTCAGGTCCCCGTTGTTTCTCGTCGGCGATCCCATACTTGCTTTTAATGTCGGGGCCCGGGCTGATAACAGGACTTTCTCGCTTCCCTGATGGAGACCATGGCTACATCGAAAGGATGAACAAAGATGGAGAAAATGGAGTTGCCTCACCCACTCAGAGTCTGGATGGATAGATGCCCCTGGTTCCTGTGGCTGCCGCGGCTCTTCAGTGCTTCCCACCTGAACTATCGATCAGCCCAACACGTTTGAGCTGCTTCATCGGCACGCCACCACATCACCGAGTTCCATCCAGCTTCAGGTTTCATTCGGTATTATCAAGAATAATACTCCATATCGGCAGAAGAAGTACTATTAAACCGAGGGACCGTTGGCAGATGCTCCCATTATGTGAAACATCCTGTTTCCATATCTGGAAAATTCTAAGAACCGGGACGAATAAACCAACAGACGATTTACTTTTTCGACATAGTCCATCACGTTCTACTTGGTTCACCAATCTTTCTGCTCGAACCAGCTATTGGCCAGACAAGTTATTGAGGAATTCTCCGTATGCGAGCAACAATTTCGATCGGGGCTGTGGTCCCGCAAGCCAACTGCATAATAGGCGAGCATCGTGGTGATTTCGTTCTACAACGGACAGCGGACATGACCAATATTCTGCCGGGCCTCGAGCATCTCGACGGTCCGTTCCATTGTGCAGAGTAGTTTCCGATCTTTTCAACAGCCATGGTAACCTTCGTATTCGTCGTCCGACGGGTGTTAAAGGAGTAAGCGGCCAAACAATGCCGTGACTCCTTACTCCGTATTCCCTGCACGATTTGCTTCCAGCTCCATGCATGCACGGCTCGTTGCTTACAACGCTCCCTGGATGTCAGTTATTCCTGCATCGACCCATGCAGAACAATGTCATCTTTTCTTGTTTCTTCTACCGGCTATTCCATTTAGAGTGCCAGGTATGTACATGATATTTGCTCAATGCTCCGTTCCCATTGTGCCCGAGACATTCCCTTCCCCCCTCGCAGAATATCGACGGTGACTCTGCTCGTGCTGCTTCTTTTTATAGGGGTTTTCAGCAAGCTTATGCACGGGAAATGCAGTCATGTACCGAGAGACATGCGCTCATCATGCGAGTGCCCACAGCGTGGTTTCCAGCTCCCCTTCCGGCGGCAGGAAATGACCATTATGCGCACTTGATGTCTCGTATTCTCGGGTTGCAAGTTGCGTTTTGGTCCCGTCATATGTGGCAAAGCATTGAGCCTTGAGAAAGTGTAAACAGCAACAGAGAGCATATACGCCTGCATATCTGGGTGTTGCTGCTGTGAAGCGACAAAAGGTCTAGTCTAGGTATTGCTGTTGGATGACGGGTCGATGCACCGCGCTGTCCCATCGCACTTTG